TATATATATATATATATATATATATATATATATGTATGTATAATTATAATTGTTGTCCATAAAAATTTAAATTGTTGATAATAAAATAAAAGCTGAAAACGTAGAACGCATTTAAATGGATAAAATGAATTAGAATTAAAACATTAATTTCTACAACTGTTACATAAACCATTTACTGATAACATTTACTAATAAGGATTTTAAAATACCTCTAGATTATTATTTAAAACAATAGAACTGTATATTTATATTAATGTCAATTAGTACTAAATTTTATGAGCATCCTCTTAAATAGGTTAAGCAAAAATACATTAAGTTAGTATGCTTGACTTTTTTTTTTTTTTTTTAAATTTTTACTTTTTGCAATTGAACAATTGTTTGTGTTTTATTATAGGAACGACTTGCACATTTGAAGCAGCAATGTCAGCCTCATCTTGTGGAAGCTGCAAAAGATTCGGTGGAAGCAATTTGTACCAAAATATACAATTTATCATGTGACTATGCTAAAAAGATCAGAGACAAACATTGGGCTCTCTTACGGCAGCATGGCATCGAAGGTAAATGCATATATCTTCTATATGTTTTCAATAATTTTGTTTAACAATTTGTAATTTGTAATTTAAAATCAATAATTTTGTTTAACAATTGCTTAACCTGTAGTGGAAAAATATTATGAAAAACAGGGTTGCCACTCCACCGGGAGAACAGGGAAAACCTGGAGATTACAGGAAATTTAAAAATCACCTAAAATAACACGTAAAATGCAGAGAATTTTGTTTATTTTTTTAGTCTTTTAAAAAATGGTGACCACTGAAAGCGTGATCTATGGAATATATAATGATGATATTTCATCTATACTAAAATATTTCATTTATTATAGCATTATTTAAGTATGTTCAGCTGTTCCTTTTTTATTCTTAAGTGTTTCTAGCAATAAAAACTAGTATAGTTAGTCCAATATAGCTCATACAAGAGTACAGTAATTCATTCTTCTTAGTATGTTGTGTATAATACGTACAGGGAAAACACGGTTATTTTTTTCTTCCAGATTTGAGTGGCTACCCAGAAAAATCAAATTGTGAATTTTCTACACAATTTTTACAAAATTTTATTTCTGATTATTTTTATCGCTAAAAAAAAGTCCCTTTTCCAAATTGCTCTGCAGTTAGGTTTTTTAAGAGTCATTTTGGTGTAAAGTACCACAAATTCATTGTATGCAAGAAGATGTTTTTTTTTAATAAAAAATTTAAAAGTATCTATCTGGAAACAATATTAAAGCACAGTTGGATGTATTAAAAAAAATATGTCACTATTGTATAAGGTTTGTTTAGTGGTGATTATGGTATTAGTAATAACTATAGTGATTCTGAATGATTTTTTGTACAAATTTATAAAAATATAACAAAAATTTGCCTTCCACTTAATTTTTTGAATGGAGGCAAAAGTAGCAAAATGCTTAAAAAAAGTAACATAACAGAGAGTAATTAAATTAGCTGTTTGAGAAAAAATGTTTTGAGATTGCATGAAATGAACTTTGAAAATTGGCATGTTCTAATGATGCCAAATCGCAGTAAGTTAACCATCGCAGTAAGTTTGAGTAACATAACAGTGAGAAATTCAATTCGTATCTCGAAGAAAAATGTTTTGAATTTGCATGAAATGAACTTTGAAAATTGGCATTTTCCTAGTTTTTGTACATTTTAGAAAATTCCCTAAAGTAATTCCCCCTGAGTAAATTTCCTAAAAAAATCCTTAATGAAATAGAATTTTTGTACAGGTTATTGCTTGCTTGCTTGAATATTTAAATAAGTATTAATAAAACATAATGATGCGAACCTCGTTTATAAAAAATAGTTCAAAACTTTTTTTTTTGTTAAAAAATGATTAGTTTATTTTTATTCAGAACTCTTTTTAATTTAATTAAAAAAATCTTTTAGCTATTTTTGATGAATTAAATGCCTATTAATATTTGAAGTTATGAGTAAACATAATACATATCATTTCAAGTATGTTTAATGTCAATCATAACTGGAAAATATTGCAGCTTTTCTATTTTGATGACTATAAAGATTCCTAAAATTTCCTATGTGTAAAATATTTAGTACATATAATATGCAACAATAGTTGTGAAATTTATATTTCGTAAAATCTACAGGATTTTTTTCTATCTGTGTTGGCAGCTATGTAAAGAACATTCAGCTTTATTTTAGAATTATTAAAAGTAGAATAGTTTGCAAAAAATGCTCCTTAACTAACAAATTCTTATTGCCAATTTTTTCTTATATACTGTATTTGCGGTTTAATAATATAAAGTTTTTAAGAATTTTAACTTTTTGTTTTTTAATCACAATCTAGATATAAGATGGCTGTCGGATTGATATGAATTAATAAACTATATTTTATGAAATATTGAATTTTTCCAATTTGAAGCAAAATATTGCTTTTATCTAAAATTTATGTTCTTGAGATATGTTTGAAAAACCTGCGTGTTAAGCCTTTTTCTTCTAAAAGTAAAAAATTTTTTCAATACAATTCAATATTTGGCAGATTTTCTATCAAACTGTAAGTTTTGTTTTATTGAATTTAAAAACAATAAAATATTTGACAAATGCCATGCGTAGCAAAAATCTAATTTGAAATTTTATTTGAATTTACTGTAAAAGTTGATGTTTTATGTCTAAAATTAAATCCTGTTTTTTTTTATTAACACTAAGCATACTAACATTTAATCTATACCTATTTCTACCATGACCGAACTTAATGTTTCTTGATTGAATGTATGAAATATGGATGTTAGGAAGAAAATAAACTAAAAACACTTTATTATAATTAAACAAAATTGTATATTGCCAATTTTTTATGTATTACAAACACAAAGAATAAGAATTTTTAATTCATTGCTCAGTGCATTCTTTACATATATAGGGTGTTTCCATTGTACATTTTCTGCAAACATATTTCTTCTAATTATTATTATTTCTATAATTTTTATAATTATTCTGATAATTATAAGAATTAATATTATTTCTTCTAAGAAATTGTGCGGTCTTGATTGTTTCGATATTTTTCTTTGTATAAACTAACAGTTAGTTAAAAAAGAAGTAAAGCTATCAATAAAATATAAGCTACTTACCAAAACATTTAGTTTTTGTCACTTTTTCTTACACAAAAATGTCAATCTGAAATTTTAGGAAAATAAAATTCTTGAAATTTGAATTCAATTAAGGAAATGATTTTCTTGAAATTTGAATTCAGTTATTCTGATTGAACTAACTATGCAACAGTCTTTGCAGAAATGTGCAACTAATCGAATGCAATGCATTAAACACGCTTTACATCGTAATTTCTGATCCGATATCCTTATAAAGCAGTAAATTGTTCTCCCGATCAAATGACCGGTTGTGATAGAAATAGGTATACATGGGTAGAAATAGGTATATATATGTGGTATAGAAATAGGTAATATATGTGGTTGAAATAGGTATAGTAGTATTATTCGAAACAAACAAAATATTTAAAAAAAAATAATAGAATATTAACTGTATATAATTGTTAGAAAAAGTCATGAAATCAAATGTGCAAAAACGATAACATGATAGGTGCATTTTCAATGCAAAAGTTCTTAATAGGTCATTTGACAGGTTAAGGTGTGTTTAGTGTTAAGTACTCAAAAATTAAACTACATAAAAGATATTGTTTCTCTTAGAAATAACAAGTCCTTTGCAAGTGAGCATACATAAGAAAGTGTATTGTTATCCTGTGCAATTCGCCATTTCATCTCCTCATCTGCCCCCAGTTCAATTGATGATTGAAAAAGAACATACTGTCTTGAGGTTTAAAGGAGACGCTGTCAGAATCACCACTCACTTCTTTCAAAAGCTGGTAAATTTTGATCATTTTTCAAAAATGGTACTTAATGTCTAATGCAGTGTTTCCCAACGTGGGGCCCACGCCCCACCGGGGGGGGGGCAATTCAAAAATGGACTCGACATGAGTTTAAACATTTTTCCTCTGGGCCATTTAAATGCAATGCGAGACTTCGCTGACAAAATCGAAAGAAAAAAGCAAATTCTTAAATAATTGCGATCAATAAATATTGTGTGACAGGGATTTTTTAAGTGACAAACCTGAAATGAAGTATCTGTTTACAGTCGATGGTAGAGCATTTGTGAGTTATTTAGTCAATATTTTGAAAAACTGAATATATTAAATAAGAAACTCAAGGAACAAATAAAACCTTGTTAATACAAAAGCGAAGATTTATGGCTTCATTACCCTTATTGAGTTATGTCAGAAATATATTAACAACAAAAACTTTGAACAGTTTCATTGGCTCCAAAAATGTGAAGTACCCCTTTGCTTGTTATTGTCTATCATCTGAAAATTCTATTGGCTGATTTAAATGAAAGATATTCTGATTTAAAACAAATTTATTTTCCAACATGGATGTTGCAGTCCATGTTAGTGGATTTGTCTGATATATCAAATATATCAAGAAGAACTTGCAGAAATGCAAAATGATGAGCCATCAGTTAAAACCTTATTTAATATGAAAGGAGTGATGGCATGGCTTCGTGAGGAAACAGAAAACAAATACCCAAATTCAATCAAATGTGCAAGAAAACTATTGTTACCGATTCCATCTTCATATTTAGCTGAATGTGGATTTAGTGCTGTAAATGATTTTATTGGTAAAAAAAAATTTGTCTAGATATAACACAACGGGGAGACTTGAGACTGAGGCTAACCAAATTGGAACCTAAGATAAAATCTACGTGCAGCAAGAATCGAGGGCAAGAATCTCACTTAATTAAAATATTAAATTATTATAGAAAAATATTTATTAAAATTATTTCGAATTTGAATTTTAGTTCTTCATTATATGCTCTGAAAATTTACTTACTTTGTGTCGCTAACAATTTCCTAAGTTTCTTAAGTGAACAATTCAATTTTTTTAATATTAAAAATCATGTATATGTTACATAGGGGGGCATAAGAATTTTAGAAAGGCATAGGTGGGGCATGCAACAAAAAAGGTTGGAAAACACTGGTCTAATGTTTACCCTGCGTCCAGATGAAATTTGATTTAATATTTTAACTGTTTAATTTATATCATAGGCTAATTAGAAAATCCAGCTTTTTGCAATCCGCTGATGTTATTTGTTACGCTTATTATTTTATTTTATGACCGCCGTTGAACAGCCAACCTAATTTTTAGGTTTACGACTACTAATGTTCAACACTGTAGTCTTGTAATTTTGAACCCAATCCAGAAGACAAGGAAACTCGTGGAACGAGTTTCCTTGAGGACTAATATGTTGTTACACTTATTGCAATGAGCCTTATAGACAGAATCAGGTTGGCTGTTTTGCAAAGTGCCTGATTTTTCTTTTAGCCTTTGGCAGATATATTAAGTGCATACTTTATTTCAGCTTTGTTATTATTGTACGGTGCACAAAATATAAAAATTGTGAGGGGAAAGGAAAATATTAGATATTATTGAAAACACCTATTTCCTCAGTATCTGTTTTAAAGCTGCTCAATATTGGTGTTGTTTTAATAATTACAATATAAATTAATGTATTAGTCGTAGCAAACTAAAGCTGAAGTTGTTAAAACAAATAGAATTATCGTAAGACCTTGATATGGTCTATAAAGTATGACCATTACTCTTTCTGATCTTAAATATAATGTTTAAAATATTTATGCGTTGTGGTGGAAAATCTGTGGAAGTCCTAATTAAAACTGCACCAATTAATGGCCAAATAATTTTTACAGTTCCCCTAAACAAATAAGTATCTTTTCTCCATTAACATTGATTTTGACTGCATAACTTTTTTTTTTTTTTTCAATTTCAATTACTATATATAAAATATCAACATAATTCGTAATTGTCATCGATAACAGTATGGGAATTTTTTTGGTTACGCTAAAGGAATAAATAACTTTTCTCCATTAACTTTCCTTTTTAGTTGAATATTTAGTTGTTGCTAATTTATTATTTTTCAGTATTTTTTAATATATATGGCCGAAATTAATTAATCTTTGGCGTCAATAAGTGGCGTATTTTTATTGTATGTTTGGAGGGGATTACGCCTTCTGACATATATATATGTATGTATCTGCCAACTTGTACGGTTGCTGAAAAAGATTTTACAAAGTGGTAGTAAATTAACAAGTAGAGCTGGAGAGATTTTTTTAATAATAGAACATTTAAGAGCTAAGAAATCTAACAAATCGATCATATTTACATATTTTTAATTTATTGATTTATCGTGGTTAAAAAAAAATTTTGAACCAACCCCTTCCCAAAACTACGCCACTGTCATCAATAATATTATGGTGATTATTTTAAGTTTCTCCTGAATGAATTTGTACTACTTTTCCTTTTGATTTTTCTTTTTAATACATAACTTTTTTTTTTTAGCAATATGTTTAATTTTATCGAAATGCACTTTAAAAGAATTACTATCAACAAAATAAATACATGGTTTTTGGTTGCTTTAGAAATACTTATTTGGGGACATAGCCTACCACTGCTACTACATCAACATTGATTATTTAATTTTTTTGACTTTGCAAATACAAAAATAATTAAATTTCACAGTACGCGCAGTATTTTTATTAATCAAATAGAACCATAAGCTAGCAAACATCACTGGTGTAGATAGTTGAAAAAATTGTATTGTTTCTAGTTTAATCTAAAACGGTGATTAATGCTTAATTAGTGAATTATAGTATTAAGGGGTAAATTGTCCCTTGCAGAGACACTGTCCAAATTTCAAAATGATGGAAAAAAGTGTTCTGGAGTTACAAGAGACACACAAACTCTTTATTTTTATTATTATAGATAATTGTAAAAAGTTTTTATTATAAGGCATAAAACTTTAATGAAATCTGTTAACATTTTATGAGTTATCAAATGTTAAAAGTGACATATTTAAAAACTTGATTTCAGTATGAATATTGATTTAATATGAATATTAACTTTGAGTTTAATGCTTTTAATTACTAATATTAATATTCAGCAATATTTTAATAAACTGTATGTTCAACTGTATTAAACTTAAAATGAATTAAAAATCGACTGTTATCAATGATTAGTCTCTGTTGTTTATTGTAGTGATAGTAATGTTATCTAATGTTCGTGTCAATAACTATTTTTAATCAAATTTAATTTTTTTATTAGGAACATTTGTATCGCCTGAACTGTTCTGATGACAGGAAGTTTGAAAACTTTCTCACACGTGTTTGGTGTATGCTAAAACGTTACCATGTAAGTAATTTACTCTTTTGAAATATAATTAGCAATTCAGTATTTGCATCCAACTTTATTTTACTGTATTTCTGTATTTTAATTTAGGATAAAAGTTGTATTGTTCCTTGTAGATTGAATAATACGTCAATACAGTTTTTATTTTTGTGAAAGTGAATAGGTTAATAACAAAAAGAAACTGAACTTTTTAAGGCAATTTTCAGAGGGATACAAAAATTTTAGGAATGTAGAATGTTGCTATTGCAATGAGGAGTTTCTCGAAATGCATGATTTGGCTGAGTTTATTCAGATTGATTTAAAATAAGAATTAAACTAATTTTATTTTATAAACTTATTTGTTAAAAATTTCTTGTAACTTTTGTCGATCAATAAGTTTATTATGAAACTGCTATTTTCATCTTAGGCTTTAGGAGATGCAACTAATTAATTTCTTTGTAAATGGCATTTTAACATTTTATCAAGTAAAATTAAATAGGTTTTTCTGTCTCAAGTTTTTGAATTATAAAGAATTTTATTTTGAAACAAAGCTAATATCATTTAAATAGATAATTCTTTCTTTTTTTTGTCATTCATTTTAATTAAAACATACCTGCTTATACTATTTTTTTTTAAATTTGCATTGATTTGAAATTAATATAATGTTTCTTTTTTAATAAATCATATTCTGTATAACTTACCAGATGATTTTAAATGGAATTCTGCTTAGAAATACTGTAAGATGCTTGCATAAGATTCTTTTCTAACTGAATTTAATCAGAAAATTATTCATGTTTGGTGAAATGTCTGAGGAATATATATATATATATTTATTATTATTTTGGAATAGTGCTGCTGCCAGCAACTGATTTTAATTTATTCATGAAATTCAAGCAAAATGTTCAAGAGGATAAAGGCATATTTTTTCATCATGCTTTAGGGTGTTAAAGGGAATAATTTTTCCTCATTACTCAAACCTTATTAATGTAAAACTTAATGTATTATCTTCTTGAAAATTATTTTAGTAGTAATAATTATAAATACTGGGTGCTCACAGGAAGAACAGAGAATTTTATCAATCTTGAAAATTAGGGAATTTAACTAAAATTATCCGAAAAAGTCAAGAAAAAAGAATTAATTTGAGTTTAAATTGCCTTATTATCTAATATTTTTCAAAAAAATATTTTCACATTTAATGGTTTTGTGCCCTGTTACATATTTTATGTATAAGAATAAGACGTATCTGAAAAATTGATAATGAAATTGAAGCTGTTAGTTACAAAAATCAAGAAATCCAGTAGAATAATTGGTCTGGAAAAAACATGTAAATATTGCGGAATTTTTTTTATCTTAGTTTTTGTGGTCAGCTTCAATGTATATATATAAATTTAATTTCCTTTTTTTTTTAAATTTAATTTCATTAATTGATTGAGTTCAGAACAGAAATTAAAGATAAAAATATAATCAAAATAACAACGATTTCAAAGTAACAGTTTACCTATTAAAATTAATTAACAAGAAACTTTAAATCATGAACGACAAAAAAAAATAAATAAATAAACGAAGTGACAAAATAATTGTCTTGAATAAAAGACTTCCTCTCAAGTTGCAGTTTAACTGGGACCAGGGTGCATAGCATTTTTAAAAGGTGGGTATTTTTGGTTTTCATTTTTTGAAAGCCTTTAAAGATGTGTTTTATTGTTGGGTGTTTTTAAAAAATGCCTAATTTTCCCCTTTCCAAAAGAAAAATTTTTTCTGTTGATTTTCACCATGACGTAAGTTTGAGTGAAAATTACGTCCAATGTATTTCTTATGGAAGACTCAGTTTTACAGCAAGATGATTGTTCTGGAAATTTCGAATTTCATAACGATAAGACCAACATTTTGGAAGTTATTTGAGAATCGTCTAAAATTGTGTCAAAAGTTCAGAATTTTGTCACCAAGCCTATATAAATAAGAGTGTGTACAGAGTAGAATATTAGTCTGCTTGTGTTCTGATTTCTAAGTTTTCTCTAGCAAGCTCGATGAATTGCTTGAAGTTTTAAAATCTGTGTTTTGTTGTATTAAGCTGTTACTTAAGTAGTGATTGAGTATTTGAAATAACTGTATTTTCTGGTAGTAAATTTTTGGAGTCTTACGGAAGTGTCATTAATCTCCGATCGAAATGAGCCTCTGTGCCGAGCACAATATGTCTGTTTGAAATCACTTAATCTATACTGAGTTTCTTATTTATTTATACATTATAAGCAAAATCAGTCTTGTAGAAAATCATTCTTTAAATTTTTTAATAAGCTAAACATTTTTTATTTCTTTTTCCACACAATTATTTTTATATTCAATTTTTTTTTCTTCTGTTTTTGTTTTTAAATATAATTTTTACAATTCTTAATATTTTTGTGAATATTATTTATTGATTTAGCTTAGTATTAAAAAAAAAAACAACTAATTACTATCATTGATATTTTTGCACTGGTTACCTAAATTCTTTTATTTAAAATTTGGTGTCTCTTCTTAAATAGGCATTTTCTGGTCTTGCGCATAGTGATGGTCATGGAATACAGGGATCTCTACCTGTTACTGTATTTGACTGCATACACAAACAGTTTGGTGTCACCTTTGAATGCTTTGCTTCACCTCTCAATTGCTATTTCCGACAGTATTGTTCAGCTTTTCCTGATACAGACAGTTTTTTTGGATCTCGAGGGTATGCATATTTATGATTAACTACCATCTTCTTTAAAAGGACCCCGTACCAGGGGGGGGGAATATTTCGGCGCAAATTTTCTTTTACCTTCAATACTAATTTAAAATTCAAAGTGTAGAAAAGGTGAGTTCAGACAAACTTAGAGTAAGCCACAAAGTTTCAAATACTGAAAAGAAAATTTTAAAATATACAAATGAAAATAAATTATCAGATGCTTAAGATTACGCAACGGAGAAGTTCTCTTCGAATAATTTGTTTGCATTTTAATATTTTGAAGTATTTTTCAGCAATTGAAACTTCATGACAAATTCTAGGTTTTCCTGAACTTACTTTTTTTCTTCTTTTAAATTAGTAATGAAGAAAAAAATAATTTGCGATAAAAATTTTCTTCCGCAGTATGATATCCTCTTAAGTGTATTGTTAAATGATTTGTGTATGAATTGATGCATGTATAAACATTTTTCTTGCATATTTCATTTATTCTGCATATTTATCTTAAACTATAGTTTTTAATGTTAATTTTTACAGGTTTTTTTGTTTCTATTAATTTGTAAATTATGCTGTTGTGATATTTTTCAATAGTGTTTTTCTTCCTTAGCTTTTTAAATAATTTTTTTTCTTTTTCTCCTTATTTCAAGCTTTAAAATAAATTTAAGAGAGCTCATATCTTTTTTTTTTTTTTTTTTTTTTTTTTTTTTTTTTTTTTTTTTGTAGCTATGTGGTCCAAAGGACCAATAACTTAAGATTTTGCGTACCCCCTTTCACTGGTCTGTTATTAGATTTTTTCTTTCTTTCTTGAAAAATAAAGTGAATTTAAATGTAAAATTAATGCAGAGATCATGTAATATTTATAACATGAGAAAATTTCTTATTTTGTGACAAAAATGCATACCAAAACATATATTTAAAAATTAGAAAAACCAAAACAGCAAACTCTTATACAGCTGCTTTGACCCATGTCAAGTTTTAATTGTCCCAGACCACTACTAATTTCAAACCTTGAATATAGCGCTAAATATTTTATCACTTGGTTTTCCTTGCTTTTGACACAGGGTTCCCACGGTCCTTAAAAGTCCTTAAAAACTGCTTAATTTTTAATTTGAAAAATAAGAGCCCTTAAAGGTACTTAATTTTGGTTCAAGGTTTTTAAAACTGACAGTCTCAATACAGTACTTATCGCATTGGAGGAAGGCGAGAGACAAAACAGGAGCTTCAATCCTGCACAAACTTAAAATCCCCTCACGATTGCTTGAAGTCCACCTCCAATGGATCCCTTCTCACGTTGGGGTACTGGGCAATGACATCGCGAACACTCTGGCTAAGGAGGGGACAGAAGAAACTTTGAGTCCAAATTCACTCACCTTCATGGAACTGGCATCAAAAAAGAAGACAATGTTTCCTGGCTTGTACCCCCCAAACATCACTGGTACCAGAGCACCCGTCCAGGAGGTGCACTCAACATTCAGTGCAATCGCAGGAACAGACTGCACTTACCAAGCTTGTCAGCGACCACCTTAAGTCCCTTTCTTTTGAGGGTAGTGTTAAAATCTACCCAAACTGCCCCAGATGCCACAACATGCAGGCTTCTCAACATATTCTGGACTGTCTTGGTCTGGACAAAAGGGACTTTCTGAATAACCCACTTTTGGTGGCCGACTTCCTCCGGGTCATGAATTTCATGGATATTGTTTAGCCTTGCTAACTTTGGGGATAAGGAAGAAAAGTCCTTAATTTTTTAGCACTGCTATGGTTGATAAGAACAATTTTTCAGTTCAATTTTTTAAGGCAAAGTATCGCTCTTTTATCACTTAGAATTAGACCATGCATCGAGGGTAAAGCATTTTAGAGAGACAAAAATTAGTGGGGGGGGAGCTTCAGGTAAGGGGAACAAAGCATGTCCTTTCATTAATATATTGGTTGTTTCTTTAATATATTCTGCCTTTTGCCTAAAATGATACTCTATGAGGAGAGTGAAGCATTCTAAAAGAAAAGAATAGTGTGGACAAGGGGAATACTGAACATGGAAGAGATAGTGCTCTTCTTTTTTTTCGTGAGGGGGTGCGGGCAATTTTAAGGTATCTTAGTAGAAGACCCACACTAACTTTCAAAATTGACAGAATTCAAGAAATTCAATTCTACTAGTAACTCATCTGCTTATAGGAATTGAGTAAAACATTAAGAAAAGAAGTACCAGAAAAAATGTTTGAACTGGAGTTCATTCCATAACGAGAACTATTTCCTAAAATCTTGAAGAATTAAATAAATTTGTATAATATTTCAATGTGTAATAAGTAAGTGTAAATTTATGGAAAGCATAAAATTTTTTGTAAATTCATGATTGTACTAAAAATTAAACAGATTTGTAAGAAATAGGGTTTAAAAAGTCCCAGCTCACCTAGGTTTTTCATCAAGAACCTGGGGTTATTGGATTTTTAATTAACACCAGTTTTTTTTTTTTTTTTTTTTTTTTTTTNAAATAAATTTGTATAATATTTCAATGTGTAATAAGTAAGTGTAAATTTATGGAAAGCATAAAAATTTTTTAAATTCATGATTGTACTAAAAATGAAACAGATTTGTAAGAAATAGGGTTTAAAAAATCCCAGCCCACCTAGGTTTTTCATCAAAAACCTGGGGTTATTTGATATTTAATGAACACCAGGTTTTTTTTTTTTTTTTCAAAAATACTTTAATTTTTTTATCCTGAGTATTAAATAAGAAAGCATGATTGGCTTCTAGCAAGAAAGTTAAATGTTTGATAACTATTTCTAATTTTTTTTGCTGGAATGTAAAAATTTTTTTTTTTTAAGTTTTAGATTATTACACTATTTTTATTTCTTAAGGATAAGCTGATTGTTACATGCAAATTTAAATCTACTAAACTAAAAGATCTTTAGATTTTAATAATCATTTTATTTAGTTAACATTGCAACTTAATGTACTGTTTTTAATTTTAGTTAAATTTTTGGTTGCTTTAAAATTCATGTTTTTCACTAGAATATTTAGTAACGTTATGTAAAGTTAATTCCTAATTACAGGTATGGCTGGAAATAGTTTTGTCTAAGTTCATCATAAAAGTGAATATAACACATTTGCTGGTCTAGTGGGAGATAGAAAAACTTGTTGAAATAGTTTTTGCCAAATTTCTTTTTACTCTTTTTTTTTTTATTTTTAATATAAGTGAAAAAATTGCAAATCTTTATTTCTGCACTTATTTTTATAATTCAATTTCAATGAAATCATTAAAAATGGAATACAGATTAGTTTCACAGGTTAACTTTTATAATATGAATAACGTTTTAACAATCTGAAAATGTTGTAAAAAAACTCTATCCAGGTTTGCAAAAATTGTCTGGTACTTTGGCGAGCCCTGTTAGTCAGTGCTTACATTATAATAAAATTGCTTATTATTATTTTTTTATTTATTTTTTTAGGAAGGTAAATAATTTGCACTGTCTGGCATCCAGTGATAAACAAACATACTATTTTTAAAAGTCCTTAACTTTTCAGAAAAGAAATTAATTTTTTCAAAAAAAGTGCTTAATTTTTGCTTTGCTAAAAGAGTGGGAACCCTGTATTAGAAATTGTATATTAGTGCTATAGGAGATATATTAGAACTATAATAAATATATTTTTTGGTGAAAGTAAAGTAAAAAGAAAAATAAAGCTGTACACTTTTTTTTTATTGGTTAAAATGGAGTATTGTAACTAAATTGTGGCTGTTATTAACTGAATTGTAATGTGTTGTACTTACAATTGAATCTGAAAGTCTTAGACAATTTCATAGACTGAATGCAGTGTTCATTTTCAATTTATTTGTGTTTGTTAAAATAGTTTAAATACAATGTGAGGGAGGCAGTTAAAAACTAAAAACATAGTGTGTAGCATTTTAAAAAGTGCTTAAAGGTGTTCTTTTCATGAAGTGTTTTTGAAAAGTGCTTATTTTCCTTTTTTGAAAATGAGAATTTTTTCTTAGCTTCAATTTTCACTGATGTGTATTATGCACTTGATGTGTATTATGCAATTCATTCAACCACAATTCATTTCGGCGTGCCGTCGGTCTATAACGTATGATAGCACCAATCATGTTACATATTTAATGAAATACTTGCGAGTCCGTGTGTGCAACTCTGCTGCTTTTTACAAAATATTCTCAATTTCAGGCTTCGTTTTCTACCCTATGATATCGAAGCGAAAAATCTATTAATCATTTTATAATGGCTAATATAATCAAGAAAAGAGTTATTTGTCAGAAACTAGTTATTTTTATCATGATCATATAACGTTTTTGAAAATTATTTTGCATTTTATTAATATATATAGTGCTTCAAAATATTTTTTGAGTGCTTAAAAGTACTTTAAAGATGCTTATTTTTTTATTAAGAAATTTGGCTACACACCCTGAAAAAAATAAAGTAGCTAAGCTTCAACCAACTTGACAACAAAAAGAAACTTTTAGTTAATTATAACAGACCAGGGTTGGCAAGGTTTAGGACAGAATGGATTAATCCACGGTTTAAACCGTCCTGTCCAAAACCCTTTTGTCCAAAACTGTCTTAAACTGTCCAAAACCCTTTTACTCAAATTATGTCACAATTTTATCTGAACAATATTTAAGAGGTAAAATAAACATAGAACTAATAACATATTGATAATTAAATATACTAGAGAATATTTGTTTTTAAAAGTATAATGTTTTAATAATATTATTTGACTCTTCAATTTAAACAAAGGAAGATTAATCAGTAATCAAGTTCAATTGGTCCTCTCATTCAATAGTACATAACAGAAGTTTGGCCTTGCCATACAGGTTAAAATATTAGTGACTAAGTGCTTGGTTTGTCATAAACAGGTTTATGACAAACCAAGGTTTATTTATCTATAGTACTATTCAAGAATACTTTTTATTTCATTCATGTTCAATTCTTTTAGCATAGTGGTGATACATCACCAGTGTACGTAACTGAAACTGATGTTATGCCCTTCGAAACTGTTAAAATATTTTTCAGTTACTTCGTATTTTCAATTTAAACTAATATATTTATATTTAAAAACGATTTTTTTTAAATAGATGTCTTTTTTATCATCCTGTGATGCAGAAATTACAAAAATATTGTGAAAAATAAAAGGTTAATTTTTGAACAAATTTAGTATTTTTTTTAAGAAAAATTATTATTTTTTAATATTGCCATATTTATCCTTATGCAAAAATATTATTTATCAGTATTAAAAGCATATTTATATTTAAAGGATTAGGTATTCACTTTTGTTGTTCAATGAATTGTGGAGCTTCAAAAATTAAAAACCTTTTCCTATTATATTATTTTCTTTTAATAAGTTAAAGTAAATTGTATAAAAAATATCAAATATTTATTGAAACATGTAATTATTATGTGTACAATGGTTACACCTATAGAATTTTTACCTTTTACCAAAGTTCAAGGTTTTGGACAGTTTTACCCAGTTTAGGACCATTTTACCCAGTTTAGACCAATTTTACCCAGTTTAGGACAGTTTTACCCAGTTTAGGACAGTTTTGCCCAGTTTAAGACAGTAAAACCCACGTGTCCTGTCCAAAACCAGTTTAGGACGTCCAAAACCCCAACCCTGTAACAGACCTTATAGAACTCAAGAGTTTTGTAACAAATTCAAATTTTCTGTTTTAATAAATATTAATTAAATTTTTAGTTTTAAATTTTTTTTAAATTAATTGTAAAGATGTGATTGTTTTAGAAATGCATTAAAAAAATAGTTTGTGTCCGATTAATATTTGTAGGGTTGAAATAATGAAACTTGATCTGAAGAGTAAACTTAGAAAGTTATGTGTTTTGTAATTTCAGGCCAATTCACAACTTTTTCCCTGTGTGTGGTTCTTTTGAAGCCAATCCACCTTACTGTGAGGAGCTTTTGGAGTCCGCTATCTTACATTTCGAGGTCAGTTAGAATATATTTGAAAAATGCAATATTTTGTTTGTATTGCTTTCTTATCACCCAATAAAAATTAAAAGCTATTTCATTTGGCAAGTCATTAGCAATTTCATTGATACGAAAGTTAGAACAGTGTTCTCCCTATCCATTGTTTGAAGGGCAGCCCGTCCTGCCTGTCCTTTGATGCACCTTATTTGCCTTTATTGTTAAAATAAGACAAAAACACAGCGCCTTTTTATTCATAATCCATTAAAAAAATAATTCATCGTTTAAATAATAATTATACACTGGCAAAATTATCTGTGTTTATAGGTTTAATTCTGATTACTATTTCAAATATTTATTTTGTCAGAAATATTTTCAACTGGGTAAATTTTTATAAGTTGCTCTTTTTTTCAGGGGTATATTAATTATTGAATTTAATAGATTTTAAAATAATTTTTAATTGTTTTTTTTTTTTTTTTAAAGAAAATGTCATAAGTTTTTTCCCTTTATGATTTTCAATTTAAATAACAGTTGCAAGTTATATTAAGTTATATCTTTTTTAGTTTACTTTTTTTGGAAAAAAAAATTGCTCAGTGATTGTCTTTTAGCATGCCTTTAATAATTTTTAGAGACTACAAATTTTACTCTCATTTTATAATGAGTGAGAACTACTTTTTGAGATTCATGCATAAAATAGTATACGTGGGTAATTTAGAAATTGTTTAGGATCAAATTCAGCTATTGCATTACACATTTTGATAAATTTTTACGATGTTAAGTAAATGCCATTTTCTGGGATTAAACGCCCTACCCTTTTTTATTCCTAATGGGAACTCTGAGTCAGAATTAGTTCATAGCATTATTGGCTTACTTGGAGTTCATATTGTCATTGCTATTAATGAATGTTTATTGGCTTTTTTGTTTATGACCTAAATATTCTTAAACAATGTGGAAAAAAATCCATTCAAAATAATTTGTAAAATGCAACTTATATTTTCCAATTTAGAAAAAAATTCATAAATATAAAATTTTTGAATAAAATAAAATGGTAAGCAAATGAATAAAGTCTTTAAAAAATTCTGTTCAATATCAGCAAAATTTATACTACTTTATAGAGAAATAAATTTAAAAGGAAAACATTTAAAAATTTAAAATATCATTCATTATTCACGAAGATAAAATTTTTTTAAAAAAATATAAAAATTAATAAAGTGAAACCAAATATCAAGTATGCAAAAAAAAAATTAGCCCAGGTCATTAACATCTTGTATAGCATAGTTAATTCCAAATATATGTACTACATTTGATTGAAAGAAATGTGAAATCTACAATTATTTGCTTTAAAAGTTAGTTTTGGAGAAATTTGATTTTTATAAACTATAATTGGAAGGGAATTCTCATAGTTTATAGATATGAAATTATGTGGAATGAGTTGTCATTAATAAAAATTACAAATTTGTTTAGAAACTTCTTTCAAGTTCTCAGGAACCTTTGTCATTTATTGTCTTTATATCTGAATGTCGTGACCCTGTGCCATCATTTCTAACAAAAATAGAAGCAAGCAGGTAAGAATTACATATTAAACTCATATGAATTGTAATTATTAATTCAAACTGTATAACTAATGTATCTTTCCTCTATGCTTAAATGGCAAATTGCATTTTAAAATGTTTTTATTTATTTAGTAATAATATTTGAAAATAATATTTGAAAAAATTAGTAATTTATTTAGTAATAATATTTGAAGTAAATAATATTTGAAAAAATAAAAAAAATACCAAAAATTTATCCCCTTAAAAAAAAAGCGAACAAAAAAATAAACACAATATTAGTTTTACATATGCATATTAAACTATTTTTAAAGTATGATAGATTGAAAATGTGATTATATTATTGTTATTAATTATCAACTTCGAATTATTATAATATAATTATTTTAAAATGGAACAAATCATATCTAACTGTTGGAGCATGGTAAGTTAAATATGCGTTCTATGCTACTCTAATATGCTCAAAAGAAATTAAATATGCGTTCTATGCTGCTCAAATATGCTCAAAAGAAATAAAAGATATTTGAGAAGAGACTGAATAATAATCGAAGTGAAATGTTTTAATAGAAATAATGAGAAATTATTCATTTTTAGTCACGTACATGAAATGCACTGTTAGAGATTGACCTATACAGTTACAGTTATAAGTAATTGCCTTGAATGAAATGTTAAAAGTTAAAATGTATTTTTTGCCATATTTTAATGCATTTTTTGTAATAAATTTATAATGTAAGAAATATTTACTTAAACAATTGTTTCCCCCGACTTTTAATCCCTTCACATTTAAATATTTTATTGATTCTAATCTATGCATATCCGATTTAAACACATCTACTCTGCTTTTGGACTATAGTAAAAAAATTCTAGAACCAAATCTTAAAAGAGGACTCTTATAATTTAAATACAGAAAATTAAACTAAATTATCTATTTTTTGTTGTTATAAAGAGTGCATCCTGTTGTTCTTCTGTAAGTTTTTCTAGTCCCTTTATCTGTGTCTTTGTCAAAACTTCTCACAAGAATAGACATTCTTATGTGAATAAAAAGTAATTGAGAGCAAAAATAAGATTTTTATCATACATGGAAGATGGGATTTGTGAAGGAATCATTTTCAGAGTTGATCTTTATGATTTCTTTCTAAATTAAACCTAGAATAAAAGTGAAAAATGCTACCAAGTTCATTTTTGCAGCAGGCTACAGACAGCAAAGTTCACTGCAACTATCATTTTCCTGCAAATTTTTTTTTTCTGGATAAGATATTCTTATTTTGAAAGTTGCAAAGAATGAGTTTTATCATGTTCATTACTAATTTTTGTTGTAATAACCTATTTATAAATTTGTACGGTTACATTTTGAGTTGAACTTACACCATCATTTTAGTCTAATTTCCTAATCAACTTATAGGTTCAAAAGGAAGCAATTGTTAATTCCTGCATATGATCATGAATATCGTCATGGATTTCAGCATTATATCCCTAAGTAAGTTTTTAAATGTGTATAAGTAAAAGATTTTAATTGAGAACTTCCTTAGAGAGCAATATTTACTTTATTTGCATCAGTCTAAGTGGAAAGGCAGTATGAGGTGTTGGAAATATCAGGGATAATTGTGCTCCGGAAAAAATCTGGATTTTTCGCTAGCCGTGACCCGGAAGTTTCGGGAGATCGAAGGTTCAGACGTTTCAAAAAATCATTGATCACAAAAGTTTCCGGAAATCAAATTTTCAAAAGTGAAGTTAAGTAAATTAAACTAAGAAAGTAAATTAAACTTAAGTAAACTAAGAAATATTGAGAAAAAGGAAAAAACTGTGTTTACATTTTTTTTTCTAATTTTTCGATTTAAACTTTCTTTCTTTTCTTTCTTTTGTTTTTTTTTTTTACTCAAGAAATTTTCCAGAATTTCGACTTGGGCTCACAATCACCCCTGAAATACAAACATGGTGCGTAGCGTCTTAAAAAAAGTGCTTAAAGGTGTTTATTTTTTAATTTGGTTTTTTAAAGCCTTAAAGGTGCTTTTTTCATTAAGTGTTTTTTAAAAAGTGCTTAATTTTCCCTTTTTGAAAGTGAGATTTTCTTCCTTTACCGTGTCGATTTTTGTCACGTATTATGCAAAAGTGTGCTTTTCACACTGTTCTGTTCAACATTGTCAATTCATTCATCAATCACAATCTATTTCGGCGTACCATCGATCCGTAGCGTATGAAAGCACTAATCATTTTACAAGTTTGATGAAATATTTGGGAGTCCACATATGCGTCTGCTGAGTTGGGTTCGGTGAGATTATTGCCTTCTCGTGTGCTACTCTGCTGCATTTTGCAAGATATTATCAATTTCAGACTTTATTTTTCACCCTCTCATATTGAACCGAAAAATCTCTCGAGCATTTTATGAAGGCTTATATAATCGAGAAAAGAGTTCTTTGTCAGAAACTAGTTATTTTATCATGATCATGTAAAGTCTTTTAAAATTTTTGACTTTTAGTTAATGTATATAGTGCTTAAAAATGTTTTTTGAGTGCTTAAAAGGTGCTTATTTCTTTTGTTGAAAGTTTTGGCTATGCACCCTAGTATAGTGCCTTATTCCTTTCAATTCAGAGGTTTTGGTTGATTTTTAGATTTTATGGACTATCAAAAAGAGTTAAAATTATTGGAGATAGCCTCCAAAATATAAAGACACCCATAGTCAACTGAATTGCATTTTTTTATACCTATTTTTCTGTCCCTTTTTTAAGAAATAATATGTTTATCTTGTTTAAATTTATGTTATCGCTTGTTCCATGTTGTCAAAATGTGACTTTTTACTTGTGTTAAACAAAATGTGTAATAACTGTATTTTCAATTAATGAACAGAAGTACATGATAGTTGCTGGATTATCCCATGAAGACGAAGACTCGATTATTCTTTGCCAGAATGTGATACTTTCATGTTATCGACATTTGGAAAAATATTCTTGTATATCATTCATCAACTATTGCATGTTTATACCATAGCACATTTTAAAAATATTTAAGCCTTATCGATTTCCTAGTTTTTTTCTCCTTTTTTTGTATGTAAAATATTTGCATAGATTTAAAAAATTTTCTAGATTTTTAGGATTTTAGCAATATTTTAAACATTCCATAAGTCATTATGAAGACCTGGACTTAGATGTCATTTCAAAAATCAATATATTTTTTAAAATTTTAGTGTTTTTTTTTTTTTAAATATTGTTCAGGGTATTTTTTTACATTTTATTTTTATATACTTTTAATATGCAGTCAATTTTTTTGTATAAAAATTTTGTGAGGTCTCTGCCTATTAACTTCTGTCAATAGAAATCAGTATAGGTATCTATGGATTTTTATCTATTTATATATGGATATTTTATATATGAATTTATTTTTTATAATAATATTGCTTTTTTTCTGGGTATTTTTTTTTACCTTTTATTTTATTATATGCTTTCATATTCGGTCAATTTTTTTTGTAAAAAAATTTTCTGTCAATAGAAATCAGTATCGGTATCTATGGATTTTTTTTCTTAGGTCTTTTGTATATTATCATTGGCACATTTATTTTAATACAAGGGCAATAAGGATTTTGAATTTGGAAGGAAAAAAAATTATTTCAAAGTGAAATTGTTGTTTGAGTAATATAAAAAATTTTTATCTTAATTTTGAAGGGCAATTTTCCATGTTATTTTTAAGGTTATCAAAATGTGTGCTCTAATCATTATCATTTTTATGAATCAGTACTGTTTCAAAACAATGCATGTTTATTTTCTAGATCAGAAATCTATCAGCGTTCGGTGCATGGGACTCTAGTTTTTTTCCTCCAAAACGACACTGGCTATGCACGTTGGGGCCCCACCCCTGAAAGAATAGACGCTCTGCTGGAAGCATTTAAACTGGGGAAAGATAAAGACCGGGAACAGAGTTTAAATCCTACTGCTCAGGGCCCACCCACCCCCCAGAACTCTGTTGAACCAGCAAAGAACAGTTCGACAGATTCTTCTTCAAATGCCCAAAATCATTCGGCCGTCTAAACTCACCTTTTCGTTTCTTCATAAACATTTGAATTTTATATTTCTGGAAAGTGGGTGATAAAATAAATCAAAGAAATTTCTATATTAACTCTTTGGGAACAGTACTTCATTAAGTAGAAATTGTCCTTAAAAATTGTTATTGATTGGCTGATTTTTAGGCCTCGTTGTTAAAACTAAGAAAATTTATACAATTTATGTCATTGTGTCAATTGGAGATTATTTAAATACAGGTTTAACCACCCTGAAGCATTATAGTGGTCTTTTTATTTTGATTTTATTCAAGTCTTCTTATGAAAAACTGTTTTGTTACTCTTTGTGTGGCGTTCAAATCAGTTTCTTTTATCTCTATACCATATATTTATAATTCAATCCATGCTAGTTTTGTGCTGATTTTAGTAAAAGTCAAATTAATAGTCTCATCCTTTTTGAATTATCAGTAGCTTTAGCAATATTAGTCTAAAAAAATAGTAGTAAAAAAAAATTATCAATGCAAATATTTTTTATAGTCATAAAAGACATGCATTTTATTTTAAAATTTAGTTATCTTTACAAAGAAATTTTTTTTTTATTCTAATGTTTATATAGTTCGAAAAAATGTATATTATTTACTTATTAATCTTAATTTAATTAAAAATTGCATTTTTTTAAATTGTTATATGGAAAAAGATAAATTTGCACCCTTACTTTAATTTTATTTGCATAGAAATATTTTTTCTAAAAGCTTTTAATATAATCTTTCAGAACTTGCTAACAATTGTGGCTAAAAATATTTTCTGCAAGATAAAATACTGCTTCCATAAATTTAATATAGAGGTGCTTGCTTTATTTTGTCACCCCCTCTGTATGCACCCGAAACATCATGCATATTTTTAATCAATCGATGTATAAAAAATGTTTTTAATGTAGATTTATGATGTATAGAAATGCTTTTATCTTTCTTTTTGTTTATATTTAATGTTGCGATTATTATGTACTTGTACACTTCATATGGGTGAGTATTCCTGCATAAATTAATTATTTTTATTTATTTATTATTTTTTTGCAATTAAGATTTACTTTTAATTGAATATTGTTAAAAATGTTCAATGTTGCAAAGTAATATTTACTCTTACACACATAATGCTCAAGCAAATGGAAATATATTGTTAAATTGAATATATTGTACATATTTTTGCATTATTCATATTTTATTATACATAGTAGTTTTCTTCAATATAAACTATAAATATTCATGCTTTTTTTTTTTTTTTNTTTTTTTTTTTTTTTTTTTTTTTTTTTTTTTCGTCTGGTATGTGAATTGTCAAATATTTGTAAAAATTCACTTTTCAACCCCTTTTTTTTCTTAACAGCTGACTTCTAAAGTGTAATTTTGAGATTTTTTTTGTGGTTTAATGCCTTGAAACTTGTGTAATTCAGAAATTACTTTCATATTTACTGTCCAAATTTAAGCTGGAAAATATTTTTATTTTATGTATATTTTTAGTACCATTATGGTAGTTTCAAGTACCATACAGATGTCTCTATTAATAAATTTTTTTCTCTTTAATACAAAGAAAGGAATCAAAAACAAACCATCCCAAAACTTCTATAAATTATGTTATCTACAGAAGAATATCTGTTTAATGCACTTTTACAAACATAGTTGCCAACGCTGATGGATTTTCCAGTAGACTAATGGATTTCAGTTTCTCCTGGTTTCATACCTGTCAAATCTCCTGTTTTCTAACAAAGATTCCTTTATTTTACTAATATCTTCTCTTTTCCTTTTCCTGTTCTCCGTATTTGTTGAAATTTTTAAAAAAAATTGGTGATTAAATATCCACTGATGGCAAAAATACTTCTCTTATTCCTCTACAGATAGTGCTATAAGCGTTCGTCTCCCAACGAAAAGACCCAGGTTTGAATCTGTGGTCGATTCGAATTTTGCACCCGCCTTGCACCAATCACAATGCTGACGTGAAATATTCTCAGTGAATCATTGGTCAGGCTAACTGTGGGAGGTTTTCCTGCATGTAACACAAATGCTAGGCAAATTTCTCCCGATACTAGATCCAGGAGTTCCCTTGTCTACTGGATTGGGTTCAAAATCACAAGGCTCAGGAGTTTAACATTAGTAGCTGTAAACCCAAAAAATTGTGTTTGCGGTCATAAAATAAAGTAATTATAAATAATGGTTTAAAAAAATCTTTATAATAAAATTCATATACATATTTTTTACTTTACTTAACGTTAGTACTTATGTTATTTCCAATTTTGAATTTCTCTTTTTTACTTACATAATTATGTATGATGTATCAAAGCTTAACTTGTAGCCTAAAAAATGTTGCTAGTGAAATCTCCATTATTTAATTTTTCCAATGTTGGCAGGTATGTAGTTTTTGTACATTTTAGAATATTCCTTAAAATTGAGTGTTTCCTAAAAAAAAAAAAAATCCCAATTGAAATTTAATTTTTTTTGCAAGTGCTTGCTTGAATGTCTTAATAAGTGTTACTAATACATATTATAATAGTACGTATAACTAACCTGCCTTATTTATGATAATCCTTTTCAAGCTTTTTTTTTTTCTTCCTAAAATTTTCAGTTTATTTTTTTTCAGACCTACCTCCATTTTTAAATTAATTTTAAAAAAAATATTTTTACCATCAATAATTAATTACTTCTCTATTACTATTCAAAATTATGAATTGACATAATAAAAAACATTTCAAATCAAGATCATTTTATATCGATCATAAATGGAAAATATTGATGACAACAAAAATCCCTAAAATTCCCTTTATGTAAAATTTTAAGTATATTATTTTGTAAAATCTACTGGATTTTCCCCTGTGTATGTTGGCAGCTATGTATTCTCCATAAACAGTATTAACTTTGAAAGAGTAGGATATAAAAATCATATAAAGAAAATTCTGAGCAAGAATCATTGCCTGTTCAAAGGCTTCAAGAAAAATTATTTACTAAGAGGCACATCTCTAATACACATGAAAATCGATAATAAAAAAAATTTCCGTTCTCAATTCTCTTGATGATTTCAGTTCTTTTAATCTGCATATAAGAAATATTTTGTATAACCTCACTTTTCTAGGGAAAGATCTTTCACAGTATTTACTTATAATTTTATATTACATGTGTTGATTTGTGAACCAATATGGGTAGTTACAACATGCAGGGTAATTCGCAAGTTCTGGGGTTTCAAAAGGCTGTAGTAAAATAATTAAAATGAATACTCCAGAAACAAACCAAATATAGTAACAATTCAAACTTTAGCTACAGCTTTTTCCCTAAGTGTAATCATTTGATCACACTGAACGATTAATGCGATAGTCCTGTCAACCCCTAGCACCAAAATAACTCCGTCCTTCATTGGATCAATATTCACGAATCTTGGCTCAATAGGGTTTCATAGGGCCGTTTTTTTCCCCTTCCTATATTGGCCCTATGCGGGATTGTCCGATTCACCCGATATTTTACGACCAATATCAGCCCTATTTAGAATTGTCACATTCACCTGATATTTTATTTTCATTTATAGGCTTTATATTTGTCCCATAAAGGCCAATATTGGCCCTTATAAAAGGCGAATATTAAAAAATCTAGACAATATTGGTCCCTCATGCATGTTCATATCTAACGCACGTTGAGCCAAACTTAGACTGTAGTGAAATTGTTGCTTGGGGCATGGCAATTAAGGTATTGATAAGCACATGGTACTTTTTTCTTCTTTGGTTTTGCAAAAGACTGTTTTCTTGCCCACTTTGTCATGCGGCTTAAAATGAGTTGTAGAGTTTGCCAGGAATCGGACTACATTTAATTGTTTCTCCATGGTTTATCTATAATAACTGTAAGTAAAACTAGAATTGTTTAGTGCAAAGTTTGTTTTTATCTTTTTTTGCTCTTTACTGTAGCTTTCTGAAATCTCAAAAGAACTATGAATAACCCTGTATGTATATAAATATACATACTCGCATATATATATATGCACCCTTATACATATATTTTGAATAAGCAAATAGGAATTTGCTCTAAACTTCAAAAGAATTAGAACTCTTGAAAATTATAAACCTTAGAATAAGATCTATATCTATATATATATATTTTAAAAATATTCTTTTGTTAATTTCCTTTTTTCTATAAAAAGTTACTCAACTTATTCCTTAAAAAAATCCCTTTCCTATATTTTTTGTCATAATTTTTAAACAAATTGCCTTACAAAAATAATTTCAATAATACTGTAATAATTTTTATGAATAGATTGTATTTCGAGTGGTATTATCCATGCCTTTATTTTTTCATTCATGACACTCTTCATATTTTACAAATTAACTAAGCATTTGTTTCAACTTGATGATAATTGTTAATTTTGCCAACCATTTCCTGTTAGTGTTTTCTGTTAATTTATTTCTTTATAATCATTCTCAATTATAGTACATAAATTGCTTGAATGCATACTTTTATAACTGCTTTTTAAGTGAAATATAATAAAGCAGAACAAATAGTTTAAAAAAGATTTTAAAGAAATTGATATATTTAGCTGCTGAAATTTAAAGAAGAGTGTTTTCATGTTGAAATCTAAATAATCTTGATATTATGATATAAACTCATTTTTTACCCTAAAAATCTAGAGAAATAACCAAACAGTTTTAAATATTAAAATAAGATGCAAATTATTACCTAGTTTTTATTTATTTATTATTTACTAAAAAGGGAATAGGGTATGACTGTGCTACAAAGACTGTATGAAGAAAAAAAAACGATGTAAATAAATTACTGATATGAACTAATTTTATTTTCAGTTCTGTTTAACAAGAACCTTCTTCAATGTAACATCAAATGACAGTTAAAAAAAGATAAATGAGATAAAACTTTTTTTTACAGTCATTTGGTGGTGTTAAACACTGAGGAAGGTTCTTGTTTAGAACCAAAATTATAGAATACCCATTTGTGTGGTAATCAAGTTTTTTTTTTTATTGTTGCTTCTTATTATTCTTTGAAAACTAATTCATTATGGATGGTTGACTGAATGTAAACAATAACAAGCTTCCTAAAACCGAAAGAAATTTACCATAGTTTTACCGTTAAAATTAAAACTGAAAGAACGCATTATATTATAAACACTACAGGTATAGTCATATTTGGCTCCTTTTTTTAAGCTGAAGTGTAAAAATCAATCAAAAGTAGTAACCCGGAAATCTTATTACAAATTTTAACCCCTAGCGCCATCTGTGCTTAGCTCTACACAGTCGACCAACCATGCAACTTCTCTAGGGACTACTTATTATAAATCAATAAAAAAGTTTCTAATCAGCTAATTTATGGAGAGAAAAAAGGCAACAGAATTTTCTTTATAATTAAAAAGAAAAAGTATTATTTTTGTGCCATTATTTATTAACAATTTTATTGTTATGATTTTGTATTCTTTGAGGTTAAACTAAAATATATTTTGTTTTTGTAAATAGTCTCGCTTCATGCTACTTGTATATATGTATTTGAGGTTTTTAACACGCATTTTTGTTTTTTAACTCTAGTTGACGCATTGAAAGGTGATAAAAGTCCAAGAAGAGCCATCACAAAATGTTTTCGACTTTTAGTATGATTTGTAAAGTTGGTGCGATGAAAGTTTAAACTACAAAAATCCTTTTTAGCAATTTTGTGTGCAGGATGTACTACTACACAAAATATTAAACTTTTTTTGTGGTGGTGCTTCTTGGCTTATGTGGCATACATTGTATTATAACTTTTTATCAGCTGTTATTTTTCTCATTTGTAAAAATTAAACATCTGTAGCTGTAGTTAACCTTTTAAAATCCTTGCACATAATATTTATGACATCTATCAAGTGGTTTTGTAATCACTCATTCCTTTAGGCTGTGCGCAAAAAACTTATTTGTTCCTCAATGAAATAGATACCCCCACAAAAATAAATGTTACGTTTGTAGCTTGGATAGCCTGGTTGGTAGGGCACTGGGCCGGCCCATGTCCAAGAGGTCGTGGGTTTGATCCCCGCTGGCCGAAGACTCTCCGTGTAGTAAATGTTGACTGAGGCACATTAAATCTGTCCGGACACAAACTCCTCCATATTACCATAACAAATACCTTTAGGGGTACTGATCCAGTAGTTTCCTTGTCTTCTGGATTAGTTAAAAATTACAAGGCTATGGAGTTGGACATTAGTAATCATAAACCCAAAATTGGGTCAGCTGTTCAACGACTGTTATAGAAAAAATTTTGTGCTGAGGTTAAATTTCATTGCTGGAATCGAAGTTGCTTACGCGCAGCCTTAAATAGGGATTTAGATAGTTTATTTGGAGGAACATGTGAAGTAATGTTTTGGTGAATTTGAAGGGAAAAAAATCACATTAAAAATGTGTTGAAATATCAGAACTCTGCTTACAAAACATTTATTTATTTTTCATTTTAAAACTGGCTGGTTTTAGCATACAACCATACCATAGCCCCAAGGCGCCCACCAATCATTTATTGTGTGCACATGCTATACAATTACGATAAAAATATTCAAATTATTAATAAATACTTTATAAAAGTATAAATTTCAAACCTAATTTCACTTTTCAGAAAATAGTGTCCATAGCCAGACTGGTAAGGTATTCTAGAATCTGCTGAGATTTTTTTAAAAACAACTCTGACTTACAGAATAAATATATGTTCTGTATATGCCATGTAAAAAAAAATGTTTTTGAGTTTGTTGAAATATTTCCGTGGAGCCATGTCTAAAAATGTTCTACATTTAATTATCAACACCTGCCTTCATCTATAAAAATGTTTCAAATTAACGTTCTATGGCCATGTATAAAAATGTTCAACTTCATTTATAAAAATGTTCTTAAATTAATGTTCTATGGCCAGGTATAAAAATGTTCTTAAATTATTGATTGATGGCCATCTATAGAAATGTTCTTAAATTAATGTTCTGTAGCCATCTATAAAAATATTCTTAAATTAATAATCTAGCCATTCATAAAACTGAGTGTTTCCAAAATGCTACTTAACTTGTTCTTGCACTTAAGCTATTCATTTGTTAGCAATTCGATCTCGGTGATATTTGTGAAAGAAATCTTATTTGTTGAAATTGATCAATTTTATTAAACAAATTAACATTGTTAGTATTTTAAAATGTATTGAAAGTGATTGCATTTCAATTTTAAATCCCACTTGACCAAAAAAGAAATATCTATATATTTTATTTATATGGTTGAAGATTTAAGAAGGAATTCATGTTGGAGATTTATTTATTATATTTTTCTATTTTCTTTATTTTGTGGCAAAATAATCATTCTTGTGGCAAAACATTACAAATACTATCTTTTAATATTATAATAAATAATTCTTACCTTTAATAAACTATTTATTGGTATCGTAAAAGAAATTTGAAAGTGAAATTATGCAGACATGTATTTTGCAAAACTAAGCAAATTAATGAAAATTTCCTTATACTATTTCTTGCTGCAATAACTATTTTTAAAAACGTCTAACATATTTTGATTTTAAAAAAATTATAATTTTAATTTAATATTATAATCACAGTGAACCATTAAAAGTAAACTAAATAGCCCTGATATTTATGTGAATTTATTATTATTAAAATTTGTCTGTTTTGTTTATAATCTAAATTTTAAAAAAATTAATTAATCTTTAGATAACTATATTAACAGGGTATCTACAATATGACTAACTAGTACAACTGGATTTTTTAATTTTTTTTTTTGTTAGGGAGTTATATATATTTAAAAAGTTTGTTTCTTACAAAAAAAAAAAAGTTTGTTTCTTTAAAAGTTTGTTTCACTTAGATTGTGGAGGTTATTTAAAATGTGAGTTTCCATGATATAATTTAAACGATGTGAACTAAAGTTTTACCAAATGAGCACAATTTAAAGAAAATTCCATCGGTAACTTTTTGAAGTGCGCTTCTAAGTTTTAGAAACTAAGGATGTTATATCCTTCTGTTTATTTTAACAACAAGTCAACCAGCATGCTAAATGCCGGTTAAAATAGGCTGCTATTTTGTCAGGGCTACTGTTATTTACTTTTTCTAAAAAAATTTAATATAAAAAACTATACAAGATAACTGTAGTAAATCATGTATTTTGTCTATTTAAATTATCTTTTTTGTCTTAGCTTTTTACAAAATGAAATGATACTATTATAATTTAATGTTTTGAAACAAGATAATTATTTAGGTTTCTTATTATGCTATATTTCCTTTTTTCAAAAGTATATGGTACTTAGGAAACTAGCAAAAATGTTAGATTTTCTATTTCATTTAGTTTATATTTCCTTTTTTTCCCCTTCCTTTTATGCCTTATTTGCGAATTATTGCTTTTCTGACAAAAAAAAAATTCTTAAAATTAACTTGCTAGTTGAACATTCTGTGGGTAGAGTCATGGTTCCTGTTAGATTCGAAAACTGAAACTAATACAGAAACAGATGTTATATGACCATCTACAAAAATAGTCTTAAATTAATGCGTGAGTCACGTTTCTGATTGGTAATGATTTTTTTTTCAGATTCGTGTTATTACAAATTGATTGTATTAAGTTTTTTTTTTCCTTTCAATTAATATAAAGTTTCACAAAAAATTTTCATGTTTAAGAGCATTTGACCTCCAGTATATTGTAATTGCAAGACATAGCTTTAAAGCCATGTTCTACCTATATATTTACTATTATTATTGTGTCACTTAAATTGCATTTCCACCAATGGTTGTATTTTGACATCAATGAAACCTTTTTTCTCATTGAAATCTCTTTTATCAACGTGAATTCATGTTATTCTGTTAATAATTTTTTGTACAAAGATGTTTTTAAACAAAAACTCACTTTGTAAATACAAATTATTGTGAGTATTTATTTGATTCACAAGCTTGGCTATTTGACAAAAATTTTACGCATTGGATGTTAAATAATATTTGTGAATAAATAAAAGCAGTTATGTATAGTAGTTCTATTGAAGTTTTTTTTTTAGTTACGCGATTGTATCACAAAAAGAATGAAAATTATGATACGGGTATAAAGCAGGAAAAGAATCTGAATAAAGCTGGGGGGTTTTTTTTTTTGGTACGAATTGTTTGGTAATTGAATTATGTGTTTAAAAAAATTATGCTTCAGATTGCAGATGTTATTGAAAATATAAGTTTCTGTGAAATAATTTTATTAATGGCCTTGAACAGCCTTTTAAGTGTAGGATTTCCATTATTCAACTCAGTGACCTTGTAATTTCGAACTCAATCCCGAAGACAAGAGAACTCCTGGATCAAGTATTTGGAGAAATTTTAACTTTGAGGTGGAGTTCTTTTACTGGACTAAACCTCACTTGCATTACATGGAGAGGAAAACCTTCAACGGTCAAACCTTCAAGCTCTAACCCATGATCCGTCTACCTCTGAGGGTATTTTATATCAGCGTTGTGGTCGGTGCAGAATTCGTATCAATCAGCCATCGCTGGGATTTGAACCCGGTTCACCTGATTGGAAGACGAACTCTCTATCCCCTGAGCCACCATGGCTTGTGTGAAATAATTTGAAAGATTTGGGTGAGTTTTCCCACCTAATGAGCGATAATGAATTTAATTGGAAAGATCTATTTTTAAATAAATTAAATGGCTGCGCCCACTGTTTCCTTCGTTCACCAATCCTTGTGGTTCACATTCATCGAAGTTTATGGGGAAAGAACGTTTTATGTTCATTTGTAACAAAAATTACGATTGGATTGCATTGTGAGGCTTACTAAGTTTTGCCAAATTTGAGTCACAAATCAAAATGTAACATCGAGCAAAAAAAGAATTAAATTGCAAGAGAAGCACTTAAAATTGGAATAATAGATTAGAATTTCGGAAAGGAAAAAAATATTGCTCATAAACAAATGGGACCTTTTCAGTAAGCCAAATTTTAACTCTTTTGTAGCATATCTTCATTTTATATGCTATTTTTTCCTACAAGTTTCACAGTTAATAATTCTGGAATTAATTATCGAATATTTAGTTATTCCTTTGTAATCGCCGTATACTTTTCAACACACCTAGTGATTTAAAGTTTCTAAGTCTTATTCGCGATCGAATCGCTCGATCACGCCATCTGGGGAGAGGACCAGTTCCGTGTCCTCTTCTCAGTTGTATAGGAATACACTACGATGTTTTCCCTTTCCTAATAATTTTTCGTATTTAATTGTCAAAAAAAGAGATTTTTTTTTAAACTTCCACGGCGCTTTCCTTGAAAACGAAGTTAAATGCAGTTTTCAATTTCATATAGTTTCCTAACTTGAAAGTTTTCCATCTATTTGGAAAATCAAGATAGAAACTAACGTACTTTTACTTCTCCTATGACTTTCCACATGCTAATGGTGAAAGCATGCGAAGTGTTGCCATAGGTAAAGAGTTCTGCTCTACCCGCCTGCAGCCTATTTCGATCACCAATAGTTTTTGCTCAGTAAAACAGAACGAAACTTTGAAGTTGAACACTCAAAACGGAGGAGCGGCTCTTGGGAAATTTAATATAGAGAAAGATAAACGCAAGTGAATATCAAACGATTATTTGGCTGAATTCTAATTTAGCGAATAAATTGTTTTCTTAAAAAATGCAGCGGTAGCTTTGGAAACCAAAACAAAATTTTGATTTTTGAATACAGTATTTTTGTTTTATCCTTTAAAAAAGTATACATAAGGATAAACTTTTCATGGCAAATTCTATTTCCCCATCATTGGTAAATTCAAATCATTAAATGCAAAGAAATAGTTACTTCCCCCACTGCTTAGTTCTGTTCCATTTTTTTGCATTGTAATATATTAGTATTTTATCTTTATGTAAACGAAAGAGAATTTGCAATAAGGAATTTGCCTGCAAAGAATTACAAGCTTGTAGAGTTTAATACTTAACAATAAGATCAATTAGCTTTAAGTTTAAAAAAAGAATAATCAGCATTTTCTCTCAAAAATCGCCAATTTGGCGAGATTCTTGCAAATCGAGGAAAATTATAATTACAAATGCTCAACTTAACTTTTCATCACATTGACATAATTAGCTGGCTATCAACACGCCAATTGAAATAGCTGGTAACTGCTCCAGATTGTACATAAGGCTCCTATACTATGAGAGCTGAACTATCCACCATTATGTAGTAAACAAGTTCGCAAGTTACGTTATGCTAGTATTAGCGTGAGACTCTAAAGGTTATTTAGATACCTAAAATTATTGATATGGGTGGTTGTGCACCGGTAAATTGCACAAACAGTTCAAGAAAAGGTGAAATGGATAATAAATTGCAGAAGATACGACAGGAGCCTGAAAGAGGTGCTTATGTGAGGTAAATACGCATTTATTTATGACTTATTGGATTTATTTACTTATATATGTAGTTTATAAACGATATCAAGAATTTGTTGTAGAGTCTTTGTTTTCGTCTATTTTTTTTTTAATAAGTAAATATTTACTTGAATTGTACAGTTGGGAAATTTCTGACCCCCAAAATATTGTGGCTACAATCAATAACATTGTTTTAATAGTCAGTTCAGGAGCGTGGTTTAAAGTTCGGACCCTTTAATGTTAATTTTAATTTTTGCGTATATGTCTATATCCCAGGGCTCGAAAAATTCAGAAATTTTTCCCGTCCCCGAGGACGGCTTGTCCAACAATGTACCGTCCTCCTTTGAAACTAACCCGTAGCTTCTAAATAAATAAAAATATAATTTTCTCTTGTTTATTACAAACATTTATATAAATTGCACAATGAATTAGTAGTTACTAGGATTACATTATACAGTAATAAAAGAAATACTAGGTTACTAATAGTAACCTAGTATTTCTTTTATGAAATAATTTATTTCTTTTATGAAATAATTTAAATGACAAAGGTCAAGTTATCTGGAACGTCAATTTATCCGAGGGTACTGCATTTTTTAAATGAATCAAATATGACGTTTGCCAGTTCCACAAAGCCAATGATATACAGAGGTTTCTGCACAGAAATCTGAAAGGGGTTTTCCGTTTAGGTAGATGATCATAATTGCGTTTCACGCTTCTTGTTTAAGACCAGTACGTAATGTGTTTTTTTGTAAGTTCATTGCTGAAAAGCCCCTTTCAACCGCTGCAGTACTCCCAGGCAGAGAAAACATGAATTCTAATAACAAAAATTTAAAATGTATCACGAACATTAATGGGAAAAATGGCCGTCCGCGCGGACGTCGGATTCGAAAAAATCGCTGTCCGCGGAGAATTTTTGACCGCAAGGGACGGGTGGTTTTTCGAGCCCTGCTATATTCCCCAAAAATTTTTAAGCGAATTAAAAAGGTTTTGCATACAATTATAAAATTCGTTTTTCTAAAGATAATTTCATGCAAAACATAATTTTTAGTAAATATTTATTATTTTATTTAATGATAGTCGAAAAACTTTAGAAATATAAGGAATAAAATTTTTTCCTCATTTGAAAGAATTAAATTTTAAAAGGCAAAATTTTGAGCGAAATCGGTTCAATAGTTCCTGAGAAATGAAACAAAACTCGTATTTTTCGAAATTTGTTCCTCCACCTCCTTAATTTTTTGTGACTTAAAACTCCTAATTATAAAAGTAAATTTAAATCGTAGAGGAAAGAGTGATTCTCGCTGATATGTGGTAAACAATGATTAATTAGCTGCTTGAAAGGTTATTCATTGCAGGCTAATATGTAAAAAGCTTTTGCAGAGCGAAATAGAAATCTTGGTGGAAAGTCTGCAGTCGTCAACGCTGCAGAAGGAAGAAAATATAGGCAGACAGACAGCAGCCATAGGTTGCAAATTTTATAAAATGTAAGTTAGTTAATATTCGTTTCTCAAACTCAAATTTAAAATTTGTAAATTAAAAAATCAATGAAAATTTTAGATATAATGTTTTAATTTTATATTTTAAGCCGATGGACTTTCTCTTTTTCTCAAATGGAGAAATTAGCATTTTACCGAACATAGATGTTCACTATAAAAGCATCTTTGAAAGAAAAGGAAAGAGTGAAATTTTAAAAGCCTCTATATATTTATTTACAATATATATCAACATCGAGTCCCCTAATTAAAATAACCCTTTTGTCCGTAAAATTTAACAATTAAAAAGAATTGATACTTCGCAATTAAATGAGCATAACTATTCCGAAGTTTGTACAAAACAGGGCATGATATCTTTAGATATAGGGTAAACTAACCAGTGAAGGAACACTTAAGCTTCGCTGACCTTTTAAAAAATCATATTAATTTCAAAATTCGTAATTTTAGTTAAATGAGAGGGTCAACATATTTGTTACTAATTGCAAATTATGTAAAAAAATTGTAGAGAACTTACATAATTATTGTTTTAAAATTTTGGAGGTTCAAATAACAAGTAGTAAGAAGACCAAGTAATGGAACAGCTCTTACCAGTGAATGATCACCCAGTAAAGGAACACTTAATTTTGGTTATTTTTTAATGCTCTTTATGAATTTATAAGCCATACAAATATTTAAAAACAAGCCTCTTCTTGAAATTATAACATATAAATACTTGGAGAATGCTAACTTTTTTTTATCATCATGAATTGAAAATTAAAGTGTCAACATATTAACACATACTGATCATTCACTGGGAAATCTACGCCCAGTAAAGGAACATGACTGTTCCCTCATTGGTTAGAAGTTGTTTTTCGTATTTTTAACATACTTTTGAAGCGGAACATCACTAAAGGTACAAGAAAATTAAAGTTTATCTTTCATTTTCATTAACTTAGAAAAAAAAAACCAGTGAAGAAACAAGTGTTCCTTCACTGGTTTTTCATCGTTTGGTGATCCAGTGAATAAACACCCCCGTATCTCAGTACTTTATTATGCTATGATGCTTAAAAAAAATAAAACGCAACTTCAATTACTATATTTTGAATTCTCTTTTTCACAGCGAGAAAAATAAAACAATTACAGGCAATTTATTCCACTTCAAACATATAAACACAAACACTCACCTTATAATTTTTTCAAAGAAACAAGGTGTTGCAGAGATAATAACAAATTCAAATTTTTTTCCAGAGAAGTCTATTTGACCAGGTAATCCAAAACATTGCTAGATTGTTTTACAGTAAGCTATTGTTACCAATCAATCTAAAGAAAAACTTTCAAATTCTTATTTTTAATCAATATATATGAAATGTTCCTTCACTGGGTAGTGTTCCTTCACTGGTTGGTTTACCCTAATAGGTGGTTGCAAAAAATGTACTTACATCTTTATTTGTAAAACTGAACTATTACGCGAAGAAAGAAATAATTAGAAGAGACAAATGAATTTAACATTTAAATGATTCAAAAGCCAATCGATGCATACAAAAATAACATTTTCATATCAAAACGTTTTGTTAAATGTACATGAAATTTCAAATATGTTATTATTGAATAATTTTTGCGTTATCAGAGTAAGAAGCGTGTTATTCTTTCTGGAGCGATCTCGTGCGACCCCTTCCCTTGTGCCATGAGGGCTGCTGGTGTGTTATTTATTTTATGTCAGACACACAAATTCTTTATTTTATTATGTGTTACTATGAATGATGGAAATGAGTGGTTGTTGATTTCCACCGGAGAATGTCGACCATCACCACTTCCCGGCATACATTTGCCCGATATGCCCTACGCTGATGTTTTTTAATCAGTGTGCGTAGGGTTTTTAAAAAGCGGTTAAAGGTGTTTATGTACGTTTTTTAAAAGCCCTTGAAGGTGCTTTTTCCATTTTGTGTTTTTAAAAAGTGCTTAATTTTCCCTTTTTCAAAATGATATTTCTCCTTTACTATGTTGATTTTCGCTTCGAATTTCGCAAAAAGACACATTGTTCTATTCAACATTTTCACAATTAATTCAACCCCAATTTATTTCGGCGCATTGCCAGTCCGTAGCGTATGAAAAAGCCATTCGTTTTACATTATTCAAAATTTCATGATTTTTGACACTTGTCAAAAACAATGGCAACATTTTTTTTTTTTGACATTGACGATGATTTTTTTGACATTGAGTTTTTTTTTTTTTTGACTGTTAAAACAAGATAAAACCGTCAATTGTCAAAAACTTTCCAACCCTGCCTAATTATGATATTTTTTTAAAGTGCTTCAAAATATTTTTTTAGTGCTTAAATGGTGCTTATTTTTTGTTGAATAATTTGGCTACGCACCCTGTTAGTGGATCAGTGCCACTGCCCAGTATACATTTAACCGGTACACCGAACACTGATGCTTCTCCTAATCTATACTCAGCATATATATTAAAATATCGAATAAATATAATAACAAGAACGAATAAATTAATATCAAATGGGACATAACAAATATTTCGGACATTCACCAAAGCAACTATGTGATTGCTGACCGGTGAATGTCGGAATGTTCTTGATTTCGATCATTCACGGTAACATATAGATAACGAAAAGATCAATTTATAAACTGTATTGGTGTGAATCTAATATAAAAGGGATATCCCTTTCGAAAACAACGGACGCGTTTACTTCCAGTTCCGTAGGCACTTTTCCTCCTTCGTTTCTATTTCTTATTAATTCAATAGTGCTTGCACAAAATCTGAGACAAAATCATTTATTTATTTTTTAACTATAGTAAAATTCTTATTGCAAATTCAATAAGTGGATGTAATCAGTCATTTTTATATTCGAAATGATTTTTAATGTGACTAAAAATATTATTTTTCGTCACCAATACTTGGTTTTATTATTATAAATAATATCTATATTATTTATTTTTATATATAAATTTTTTCATCTATTTTTTTATTGCCATTATTTATTTATTTTTAAAAGAAATTGCCGTTTTTTGTCCTTTAATTATTTTATTTAAAATTTAGATTTTGCTTATTATTATTTTTTAGTTTTATGGAAAATGGACTCGAAATTGAAATCGATGCATATTTTAAATTTCATGTTGCTATCTTTTTTTTTTGTTATTCGTACATCGTTTTAAAAAAATATATCGTGGAAGAAATACCGATAAGTTTTAGCAATACTAAAAATTAAGCGATATCTCACTTTTCAATTAAATACCTGTAAGTGACGTCAACGTGTGTCCGGCAACCTGATTGGCTGTTCAAAGTGGCAACTGCTCTTTCCATTCTACTTCGAGTAAGCCTAGCCCGCCAAATATGAATTGTTTTAAGTAACACATTCTATATTCCTTCACAAAGAAAGACATAGTTTATTTCTTACTTTTTGGTTTATTTCATACTACTGATAGACATGGTTTATTTCTGACAAAGACAGTTACAGTACAAACCCATATGGAACGTAAAAAAAAATAAATTATTATGCAAAGTTGCTAGATATCCAAAACAATAATAATCACGATTACAATGAAATACATAAACAGATACAAATGTGGTCACGGCGCCACTGCCTTATGACGTCACAAGCCAATGCGTGACAGAGGTGTCTGCGGAGGGCTTAGCTATCATTTAATACCTTATTTACTATTTTTTTTTTAAATTAAGCAAAAATCCCCTTCATACCTTTAATTGTTTTCATCTGTGTACATTGAATATTATTTTGGATTTAAATATTCGCTTAAGATGTATAGGATTTACAAAATCAATTTCGAATTTTTAACAACAAAAGGATTTTTAATTAAATTTAGATTTGTTTAAATAATTTTGTCTCATTTTTTAGTAATTTAGCCACTGTATCCGTATATGGACGGCTATGGCTTCATCTGTAGTCTCATTTCATAAGCATTGAAGACTATTTTGGCCGAATTTATGGGTCAGTTTAATTAGAAGTCATTGTCCTATACCAGTGTAAGTATAATTTTGTTGTAATCAGGTCGTTAAATATATATATATTTTTTAATAAATCGAAATGAATGAATGAGAAAAAAAGTGTCAAGAACGAACTGCATTTTTGTACATTCGACATAATTCGAACATTTGCGTGACAATATTGAAGAAGGAAAAAGAATTCTTACTCTCATTATGTATCATCCATTTGGTGATTAAAAACGAATCATATTACTGCTATGTATTTACCTACATCAAGTTATTAATCATAGTAAAATATTTTCCCTACTTTTCAAATCTTTTTAGTTTGATTTCAAACGGATTACTTTTAAAACGAAGCGATTAGCCTACTTATGCAGTAGTTAAACAAAATAATAATAACAGAGTCATATAGTTGTGTTGCTTCACAATGCTCAAGGTAGTTAAAAAAAAAAAAAAAACATTTCCGATGGTCACACTTATTTAATTTATGCTTACCGTACGCAAAATTAAGAAACGAGCATCCTTAATAACTTTTCGAAAAATCGGGATTTTTATGAACTGAGACTCAATCTTAATGATTTGCAAGCCTAACCTTATTAAATATGCTAAATATTTAACGAATATTAATCAGACTCAAAAACTTACTTTCGCTGATTAAACATTCCTTTTTTTTTTCAGACGAATTTGTTTTTGTTACCTTCGAAATTGGGTAATCGAGAAAATATAGGAACCTAGGCGGAAGTTATATTTCAGTTCTTTGTATTTCGCATTTTTATTTCTGAAGAACTGATTCTTGTCAAGTCATTCAAAAGTAAGTATTATTTGTATACATCAAAATTTTTTCTTCCAATAATTATAATTTTTTTAATATCTTTGGGTGCACAGGTTTTATAATTATACTATACAAAAACTTTATAATTCACTTCCTCAGTTCTGAAGAAACGAAAGAAAATGAATGGGACTAAATAGGGTATAAACTTTCAACCGCTCTCCCCCCCCCCATATTTGAGGGTCAATAAACCGAATCCATGAAAAAGAAAAAAAGAATGTTGATGAAGATAGGAAAAGTAAGTTTTTCTCTCAGATTTCTTCACTTAAAATATCGTTTGCACTTATTGATTAGCCTATTAAAGGTTAGACTTAAAATTTAGTCCTAGTACACGATCATTAGATCAAAAGTTACTCAGAGTGTTCATTACTTTTATTTTGTGCACTGCTGATGTCAATACACAAATCACACAGAATTAAACTTTAATTTTATCAACTCAAGCTAATGCCTATTAAGTATTATCTTAGATCAATCTTATCATACAAAAAGGAAGTAATAATTCTTTATCAGCGAATGGTTAGGCGTGGGACCCTCTTCATAAGTGAGTGTCCAGCTATTTTATATCCCGCAGAACTAGTTCACTATACATGCAATATTTAAAATGTTAATTAATACTTACAGGATCTACTGTAAGTCTGCGTCCCGCAGAGAACTGATTGTTAAGACATGGTTCCCAGCAGAACACCGAAGTCAACCATCACTGGCTGCGGTCAGTGTGAGGTGACCACTTGGATCAGTCTACGAAATGACTGAGGGTGTGTGGTATTGATCGTCGTTAAACTGTTCTACCACAAAGTGCTCGACTTCGCGAGCAGGTCGTCGGGCCACCGGAGAGCTAGGTGCCATCCCCTCCGCAGAGGATCAAAATTGTGATGGCATGCCTTCGGATCATCCTCCGGGATGTTTCTCAGACCGTCGCCAATAGCCCATTGTGCAGCTCTAGAGCGACGTAAATAAAACTACATCTGTAGGTCTGCATAAGCACGCTGCCCTATTTGGCATAATTGTAAATAATGTGTCGCACCTAAACTTAACCCTCTAAGATCTTTCTAAGACTAATAATTTTAAATGCTACCCAACGCTAAACAAGTAGCCAGAACACTAAATTATTTAGTCATAATCAACATGAACAACGGGGAAAAAACAACAATAAAAAAAAAGTTTAAATGTCCCCAACACTGGCAGCATGTTCGGTTGTCTACAAAGTGACGTAAACTGTAATTTTGACGAATGGATTAGTTTCTGAGTGTGAAGCAGTATTAATTTTCCCTGAATGGTATCAGTCGTATCTCACATTTAATCAAATAATATTTTTAGTGACATTGTAGCAAAAATTCTCGAACAATTTAATATTTAATATTGCAAATCCCCACAGTGGATGGTTCTTAAGACGTGGTACACTGAAATAAAGCCTCATTGCTAGTGGTCAGTGAATGGTTGGGTGACCACTTTGTTTAGCTGTGAAGGGACTGGAGGTACTAGGTATCGATTACCGTTATGCTGTAAAATGAATCCGCTGAATTCGTGAGCAGGTCCACTCTGAAGAGGATCAAAATTGATGGTATGTCTTCGTATCATCCTCGGGGATGTTTCCGTCACCAATAGTCCAGTCCTAGCGTGGCGCAAATAATGTATTTACTACTAAACTACGCAACATTCATTCAATTTGCCTGAAATACAAACCAGAGTCAAGTCTTTATTTTGAGAAATCCTTAAATCAGAAGATCTAAGGGTATGAAGAAATTAAGTATGTTTTTGAAGAGAAAAAGGGTTATCAATTTCATTTGGCAGCAAACGATAAATGAGAAACCTAAAAAACCTTCTGTTTAGAATCCCCCCCCCCCCCANNNAACCCCCCCCCCCCCATGAAAAGCTTAATATATTTTATAAGTTAGATGTCGACAGTAAAACAATTTTAAAAAAAATTAGAAATTAACATTTACTGTCAAAATTCTACAAGGTTATATACTGATAATAGATAAGCATAAATACATATATTTGATAAATTAAGAGAAATCAACCTGTTTCAGACGAAGTCACATGATTTGCCGTATCCAATAGGCATATCTGAAAATATTTCCACCTCATTCAATTTTAAAAATGTAGGATATAGTGGATGGGTATATAAGGAAACATTATATCTCATAAATATAAGCGCTTTTATGTATGTAAATATGTGAGAGATAATAAGTAAGTTTTTTTTTAAAGAAATTAGATTAACAGGTTAATATAATGAAATAATTCTGAAACAAATTACCAGAAAATTCCAATAAAATTTCTGTCCATTTGCATAATTTTTGTTTTTGTAGAACATATTTCCTCAAGTTGAACATCTGCACTAATTTTATTTCAGCACCTGTTTTATTGTTTATTAAAAATGATGGTACGTAATATTTTTTTCCAGACGCATTGTTTCATAGAGGAAAGATTACACTCTTAGACTAGCTCGAATAAAGGGAAAATTGCATTTTTTTCTGGAAATCTTGGAAAGTTGTTTCTAGAAGCTTTTCCGCAGGTTTAAGATTTATGTGATTGTTTAAAAGTTTTGACTGAAGCTAGGCTTGACATTCTGGTACCTTTTAACACTAGATTGCCCAAGGAAGTCATTTTGACTGCTTTGTAACTGCTTTTTCATTTTCAAAAATTTCACAAATAATAATGCATAAATTATTTTTTTTCCGAGTTATTTATTATTAATTATTGTTAGTTTTATTGTTGATATTTACTAATAATTTGTTATATAACTGAAAATAACATCAAAAATATTAAAAATAATATTTTAAACAAATTTCTTTATGCTTTAGTTATTCTTTCACAATGCAGTCATTTTGACTGCTTTTGGCCAATATAGGTATATACTAAGTTTCAGTCTTTCTAGTGTTAAGCATTATAAGTCATAACTATATTGTAAAAATCAATATTCCGATATGTCGGTTATCAATATTCCGATATGTATAACAGTTTCATTTATGAACAAAATGCGCGTCATTATTATTTTTTCAAAATTCCATTTTATTCGAAAGTTATTGCAATTTTCAGAACTTTTATTTGCGCAATTTTTTTCGCTTAGTTTTGCTTTAAAAAACGATTATTCATACATTGTATCGGAGAAATTTTCTCTCTCTTGATTTTATAAGATCGCTCTCCACTTGATGTCAAAAGGTAATAATAAAAAAAATTAATGAATAAAATTAAAAAAAAGAAAGCGAAAGGTATAATAAATGTCAAAGTTATTAAAAATATAAAATTCCCCAAAAAATAAGCAATTTGAATTTTCATATAATATTAGGTTGCCTTTATTTATTGTTAACATGTAAAATTACTTCTTATTGTATTAATTCTTGTTGTGTCAAACATTCTGTATTCCTTGGTGGAAATATTTTTATTTTAAGTACAATTGATTATTTTATTAATCTTTCATTTTGTTACGATTAATATATTAGCAAAATGGTCTTACATGAAATAATAATAATTTCATATTTAAAAAAAAAAAAACATTAAAACAAAATACATAAAAACTGCGGCTATAATTTTCTGGCGGTAATTTCTGATGATACGCTTTTATTATTTTTGTCATAAGTTGTTATTAAATGGGAAATAAATTTTATGGTGGATTAGAATGTGATTTAAAATTCCAAAGAAGAAAGTATTTATAAAAGTATTTTATCTAAAGAAAATTTGGTTATAATTTAGTGGATTGCTTTACCTTATTTATTTTACACGCGTCTAAGTCGGAAAGATAACTTTCTGACTATTTCTATATTATCAATTATTCCTTTGATAGATAGATGGTAATAAGAAAAACTGAATTGATCCCTAAATTGAATTAGCCAACGTCTCCTAAAGTTTTTAAAATCATTTTTTATTGTTAAAGAATATATTTCACACAATGGTCATCACAGTGAAGACAATTTACATAGGTGTATATATATAAGAATGTCGGCTTTCGCTGGTGAATGTCAACAATCACATAATCGCTTTGGTGAATGTAAGAAATATTCTTCATATCCGATTTGATAATAATTTATTCGCTGATATTATAGTTATTTGATATTTTAATATCTGCTGAGAATAGATTCGGAGAAACTTCAGTGTTCGGAGTAATGGTTAAATGCATACTGGGCAGTGGCAATACACCTTGTAAAACACTGATGTAGGACATACCGGGCAAATGTATGCTGGTCAGTGTCACCGAACCTTAAAAACAAACATTAGTCTAGGGTATACTGTGCAAATGTATACCGGAGAGTGGCACTTAACTAGATCTAATACATATTTCGGACATTAACCAAAGCGACTATGACACAAACATACACCGGTGGAAATCAACAACCAATTTTAGATATTCACAGTAACACACACACCCATATAATATATATACAGTACAGAACCCGTTATCCGTAAATCAGAAAACCAAAAAACCGGAACTAAATTCAATAAATTTTCTCTCCATTTTCAAAAAAAAAAAAATTTTTTTTCCTCATAAGATTTTAGGATTTTTCTTTCTATTTTGAAAGATGTTTACCTTACAATCATTTTGGAAATAATCATTAGTGTATTACTTCATCGTTTTAAGTTTATTTCCAAAAAAATTTTTTTAGTTGGGTTTAACAATAAAAAAACGGCTTTTTGTAGCGATTCAGAAAACCGGAAAAATCAGTTATCCGGAGTAGCGATGGTCCCGATCGCTCCGGACAGTCGGTTCCCTACTGTATATATATATATATATATATACAGTGAAACCTCCTGTTGTGGACACTCCCACAAAACGGACGCCTCTAAATACGGACATATTTTAAATTCCCCAANTGTATAAAATATATATATATATATATAAAAGCTTCAATTAATATTTTTATGCTATTTCTTATTCTAAATTTTTATTAATTTATTATTCAAAACTAAGCGCTTTGTCACATTGAATTATCACTTTCTTATTCTATATTAAGATCTCAAGTATGCGCGAATTAACATTTTATAGTTTGCTCTTTACTAACTATGAAAACCACAATACACCCTCGACCTATTTTATGGACTAATTATTACTTTTTTTATCGTGTGACTTGTGGTCATCGGGACTACTTAATTCAGAAGCACTTCAATTATATATATAGCACAATAAATAAATAAATACAAAAAAAAAGAGAAATATGAAGAAATTTAAGTTTTATTTACTGCGTATAAGCTGCAGGTACATAGAACTCATAAAATAAGTTCAAAACATAAAGAAAACATAGAAAAAATTACAAAAAAAAAACGAAAAAAGAAGAAGAAAATTATTAAAATAAAAGAAATTAAAGAAAAAAACAAAAATAAAACATAATTAATTATTAAAAAATTATTAATTAATTTGCACTTCAAAATTCTTTGTTTCGATCTTGTAAAAGCTAAAATGAGTAAAATTTCCCAAAATAAAAAGACAAATTTAGATAATTTACGTTTCGTTATTAACTTTCAAACCTTATTTATTAAATCTCTTAACCTTATTTTCGATAAAATCAAATTTCATAATATTTTTGAAAATTTAAAAAATGTAATAATTAATGTAATAATTGTATAATTAAACATGTATATATTGATGTAATATATACATGTTTAATTATATATGTGTAAAATGTAATAATTGTATAATTAAAAGCTTTAAATATAATAAATCTCTTAGTAGAACTATATTTAATTATAATGATATTAGCAAAAATTTAGGGAGGGTTAATGCATCCGATTATGAATGTCACTGTAAAGAAGAGAAATATTTTGATTTTGTTGATTAACATCATATTACTGATAATTTAAATATGATAGGAAACTTACTTATTATAGAACTTAGGAATTTAATGATAAAAGGCACAAAATTTAGACCCATTTACCATGTATCAATTAATAAAATTCTAAAATACTTTTTTAATGATCTTAATAGTTTTTGTTTAAAGATATCAAATAGATTCTCTTTACTTTCAGGTATGTTAACAGACTGGAAATGGGATGTTTATTATTACTTTAAAAACTTTGTTTTCAATAACAAAGAAAATTTAAATAACAGTAACAATTCAACAAATTTTTCTAAAATTGTTCAATCAATTAAGCAACTACAAAAATTTTTTTAATTATACCCTCATAGACAAAGCTAACAATAATTATGCAATCTTCTCCAAAAAATTCTACGTTGAACTTTTAAATACTGAGTTAAAAAATAGTAAAAATTTTTAGCTTAGCAATTTAAATAATAATATTATCATTAAAAAAAATTTTGCTTTGTATAAGAGGATAAAAATTTGAATTAGCAATATACAAATTTCTTACTTAATTATCAGTCCTGAATTTCGTGAAATTTCTATAAAATTTAAACAATCAATCACATGCGGGTCTAATACTTACATAACTAAACCTGGCACCATTTTCTATAACTACTTAAATAAAATTATTAACAATTTTGTTAAAGAAGGATCATATCCGCAGAGAGATCTTCTCAATCATTTTATTTTCCACAGACAGTCATATTTAAATTAAAAGTTATTAATATTTTATTGCATTCACAAATTGTTGGCAGGTGATGAGTTAACTCGTCATTGTCTTGGGGGGATATCAAATATTCCAAAGTTTAAATTCTTTCCATTCAGTATAATTAAAATTTATTGGAGTTTATTTAGAATGTTTTACTTTAGTTCCATTTTCAATTATGAAATAGTAGTCGGTGAGATTGCATAGTTTCTGTGTAAAATCACCTTTCAACAAAGTTTTAATTCAGAATGGGTACCACAGGCTTTGTTTTCGATTCTATTAGGATAAAATTTAGATCTAATCATTTTGCATTGTGACCATCGTATCTTCATCCATAAAATTGTTTTTTGAACTTCTAATTTAATTATTGGCTTACTCTAAAAACTCGTTAAATGGTTTTTAGTCAAGAAGGTTAATGGTTAATTTTAGCAATAGTGCGAAAAGGTAAATCTCAATACTGCCTTAGAATTTTAAATAGTAATTATAGTTTTGAAAAGTTAACATAACATTGCGTTCCTGAACAAATATCTATGCGAAATAAATTAATGTGAGCAAGCCTTATGTTAAGTCATAACGTCTTTAAAAATGCTTGACCACCACCAACTCTGTTAAGTATTTAAACTTAGTTAAATAAAGTAATAATTGAAAGAGTTTAGAATTACACAGCATTATGGGGCAGCAACTTTTAAACTTGTTATGGTTGATGTGAATTGAACGATGTTTTAACAAATGCTACATTTAGCAAAATAATTCATACCTTCAGATTTTTTTTTGTTGTTATACTTCTATGTTTTATTTTTTTAATTCAGTTATTTCAATTAGCTTCCATGCTTTTGAAAATTATTTTATTATTTGAGGATATGCAACTGATTAGGAACTCAAGATTTTTGTTTTAATCATGCACATTTTAAAAATGTTTTATTTTATGTGCAATGAATTTTTGAGCATTGCATATAGTATATATAATTATAAATACATTATAAAGAGTAATTTTTACCATAGGATAATTATTCGTTATTCAGAAATATCGCATTTATCGAAAATAAATGTGCCCTGATGAAGATCTTTACAATTTTCCATTTAAGATTAAGATCGTATTTCATTTTATTCTTCTTCTTTGTGTTTAAAGAAATAAGACAGAATTTAGCTTAAAAAGTTTTCTACCGTGCANAAGATGATGTTAGCTGTAATGTTCGGTATGTTTTTAATGGTATTGCGTTTAAATTTTTTAATGAATTGAGTGAAAATTTGTGAAGCAGACGTCTTCAATAGTCCTCCAACCCACTTTCTGAATTTCTTCCCTCAACTAGTATTTTAAATTCCAAAATAGCGTTTAAAACATCTTAATTAATTTAAAAATAAAATAATAAATATATTGAATGATTACAGTTATTTTTATCCTTAAAGGAATAGCATAAATTTTTTTAAGCAAAAACTCCATATTATGTTATTTTCTTTATTATTTCTCAATTGATTGTAGAATCTTACCATATAAGAAAAATTTTACTAGAGTTTTCTCAATTATCATATTTTAGCCCCACATCTTTAAAAATAGTATCATTTACTATTTTTATTGAGCAGGAAAAAAAACGCAAAATTTCTTCAGTTAAAAAAGTTGTAAAATTGACAGTTATCGTTCTCGGGAGTCTTGTGATTTAAAATTATTTTCTCCTAACCGAAGAAAAATCGGTGGAGTATAAGTTTAAATATTGCGTGTACTTAATAGAAAAAAATGATTTCTGAGAGAAACGTTATTATCAGGCACTACATTTTTAAAACAAGGGAAAATAGCGAACATTTAAAAAAAATCTAAATGAAGCATTACATAAAAAATAGTAAAAGATTATTCATCTTGTAAAGGAGGCTTAGGCTTTTCTAGGGTGGCATTACATATTGTTTCTTAAGAAGTTCCAATTAAATTCTTATGAAGAAAAACGATTTTCCAACAAGAAAGAAAAATCGTTTGCATTCGAATGAGGAGATCAGAGGTTATCAATTAACTGAAAATGAAATCGGATGAAAAAAAAGAGAAGGTTAGAAAGTAAAAAAGAAAAAAACACCCGACTGTCGCACCTCGTTGACTAGGAAATCACAAGTGACGTCAGGTGACGTTCCTTCTTATAGGAGGAAAGGTAAACTTCTGAAAACAGAGAGAATATACTCAGAATCAAGATTGAAACGTTCGGTTGTTGCATCTAGTGCTACCCGCACTATTCCAGGACAAGCGACAGCCATGCGTTTGATATGGGGGTAAAAAAATTTTTTTATTTATTTTTCGAATCTTTTTTTAATGCATTTAAAAATTCTTAAAATCATGACTTACTGAATTTTCTAAGAATATTTTTATGAAAACATTAAGCAGTTTCATAAAAATATTTAATTACCTTTTCTGAGTCAAACATTCATTTTATAATTGGAAATATTTTTTCACAGTTCTTTGATGGAATTTCTCGATGTTATATTTTAAATTATTTAAATGTTCTCAATTTTCTAAACTAAGTTCTTTGAATGCATGTTCTTAAAGATGAGTAAAATCACTAAAAAGGCCATTAAAACAAAAAAAAAAAAACAAAAAAAACTTTAGAAATGTATACAATTTTAATTTTGATTTAAATATAAGTGAAAATTATTCTATGGCAAAAATTATTCTATGGCAAAAAATTTATTTTCAACAGAAACTTTCTTATCCTTTTTTTTAAATGCTAATCCTTTTGAGACCAGGTACAAAAAGCGATCGATTTATGAGAAACTTATCTGAAAAAAGTGGTAGTACATATTTGTTTAGACCAAGTTGATATTTCTTTCTGTTTCCAACCAATTTAAAAAAAGTAATGTGCTTTACTTATGAAAGAAAAACTACTATCTGAAAATGAAATATATATGAAAAATAAAATGAATGAAAATGAAAAATATATTATGTATGAAGAACTAGTATTTAAATAAAGTGGTAGTACATATTTGTTTAGACCAAGTTGATATTTTTTCTGTTTCCTACCAATTTAAAAAAGTGATTTACTTGAGGTCTAATAATAAACGTTAATATATAAAATATGGAGCTGCTTTGTCTCTGCTAAATAAAATCCTGGCAATCAGGCAATTGTTCTACCACATTTTCCTTTTTTTGAAAAAAAGCAACTGTCCTTTTAAAAGAACATTCAGCACAAATGAGTTTAGAATATTTAAATTTTAACAAACAAAAACTTCATTATTAAAAGTAAAAGTTCTCTCAACCATTTCCTAAATGCAACATTTAAATTTAAATAAAAAAAAAGAAACTTCATTTTAAAAATTAGTTTAGAAATCATAATTATTCTATTGTAAAGAAAAAATTACTTTTTCTGAAATGTTAAGAACATTAGTTTAAACATTCGTTAAGAATTCGTTAAAAAAAAAAAACTAAAATGTCATTATTAAATTAGTTTAGAAATCATAATCATTTTGCTGTAAAAAATTTGTTCTCAACGAAAATTTTCTCATTTTCTTGATAAGAATATTTAAATTTTAATGAACTTCCTTATTAAATTTGTTTAAAAATGATATTTTAGTCTTCATAAAATATTTTGCTTGAACTAAATATTTATTATCCATTGAAAATTTAATTTCGTAACAAAATAAAGCTAATATATTTATAGTTCTAGCCGTTTAATAGATCAGCGCTAATTGCAACAATAATAAATTTAAAACATGAAATGTAATGATATTTAATGAGGGAAATATCAACAATTTATTGATCAAAATTGTTTTCACACTTTTAAAAAACAATTTTCCCACAGAAATATGTTTTTTTTTTACCCCAAACAATTTCTTTCAAAATCTTTTTTTCTCAAGGAGTAAACAATTTTTTAAACGTTTTATTACTACATTTTAGCTTAAAAAATAATAATAAGACTAATTTTTGAGCTATTTAATGCATTGTTTTCAAAAAGTAGGAACAAGAAAGCAACAATTAAAAAAAAGACATCAATGAATGAAAACAAATTTGGATTAGTTCAGTATTTTACGTAAAAGAGTACAGTAAAACCTAATTAAAAATTGGAAACAAAATAGCAGCAATGGAAAAAAAATAAATCATTGAATTAAAAGAAATTTGAATTTGTTCAATATTTTACGTAAAAGAGTATAGTAAATCCTAATTAAAAATTGGAAACAAGAGATTTATTCAGAAGGTTAGCAAATGTTTATTCACCATTTTTCATCCAGACAGTTGCCATCCAACATGTAAGAAATAATTTATAATCATCTTACGTAATCGATTCGTTATCGATTAAGAATAATACTACAGCAGCAATAGAAAACAAATATATCAATGAATTAAAACAAATTTGAATTGGTTCAGTATTTTACGTTAAAGAGTACAGTAAAACCTAATGAAAAATTGGATTAGTTCAGTATTTTACGTAAAAGAGTATAGTAAAATCTAATTTTATAATTGTCCAAAGCTGGCCTGTTAAAATTGCTAATTTAATAAACTATTCGTCGTTCTAAATGCATGCATTACAGAAAAATAAAATAAAGAATAAACTTACAATTACTAAGTGTTCGATAAATACTAACTGTTAATTATGAGTACTTAAATGTATAATATCAAAATTTTAAAATTTTGTATAAGCCTAAAATTACTCTTATGAAACAGTTTTTGTTTCTGAAGTTGGCGAGGAACACTTATAACTTTTAGCACTATATTAAATTGAATTTTTCAAATTTAAGCTATTTTTATAATACTAGTTTGTTGCTAAACAATTGTATAGTCCAATTTCAGTTTCTTCCTTTACGTCCATCAGTCCTGGAAGAAATTGGTTTCACCTTAATTATATATAAAATAATTATTAATCTACCATGCATGGGAAAGATCTATTGAGAAAGATTGTGCATGGGTGCTTTTCATACCTTCCCAACAACATAATCCTCTTCTGATTTCATTTAATTTAAACTGAAACAGAATATACTGATGTAGTTTCACTTCTTTTTACGTTGAATTAATAGTTTAAAAGAAAGCGAATAATTTTGAAAAAATTTCTTAACAATCGGTCAGTTTTTAACTCAGCTCGAAATGCTTGTTTACGAAAATGGACATTATTTTTTAAAAAAATGGACATAGCACTTGATCTTCCTTTTTCAAACTTCTCTTATAAGTGTTATGGGGCTTAAAATACCAATGAATTTTTTTAGGTAAATTGGTTAAATATTTAAAAAAAAATTTTGAGCAATATGCTCAAATTTATAATTGATTAAGGTCGATAAGTTAATATAAGTTTTCTGAATAAAAAAACAGAGTATTTTTTAATGAAAATTAATAAGATTTGATTAATAATATACAATTGATTGATAAAACAATTGATTGATAAAATATGAAGTTATCGTAGTTGGATGAAAAGCATTTTGTTCGTAACAGAATAGATGATTACTGATTACCTGAATTTGAACGAATATATATATATATATATATATGAACTTTTCATCAGCCCACAAGATTATATCCACAAAATAATTGATACAATATCAGAAAGCACTCTGTTTTGCGGATATAATCGTGTGGGCTGATGAAAAGATATATCTTTCTTTTTTTCGGTTTTTTGAAATAAAATTTCCTCCCTTTTTTTTTTTTTTAAACTGTTCGTTTTTTTTTGTTTTTTTTACCTATTATTTCCCCCCCCCCTTTTTTTTCATATGTCTTTAATTTTTCTTTGTTTTATCTTCATTTTGAACTTATCTAATGAGTTCTGTTTACTTGCAGCTTAAGTGCAATGAATGAAACTTATTGTTTTTCTTAACTTTCTTCGTGTTTTCTTGTGTGTGTGTGTGTATATATATATAATATATATAAATATATACNTATATATATATATAATTTTTTTTGACAAAATATAAAGTTGTTGTAATTGAAGGAAAAGCATTTTGTTCGTCGTGAAATAGATGACTACCTAAATTTGAAAAAAAAAAAGAAACTATAATTTGGATGTAATTGGATGAAAAGCATGCAGCTGCAGGTTTCTAAGTTATATAAAATGTTCTAAATACGTTCTGTAACGTTAAGTTGAACATCTGAAACGGTGGCGTTTTAATATTGTTTACATGGCATTTTTTTTAAAAATATAGATGAAATATTTTAAAATATTTTTTTTTGAAATATAGATAAATTATTGTACTTTAAATATTTTCGAAAAAAATGTACGAAATTTCTCGTGTTAGGAATTAGAGAATTTCATCTTATTTCTTCTTCCTGCAAGAGATATTGTAGTAACATAGGTTCATACGAGAACAATTTTGACTGATCCGTAGATACATTGATAGCAAATTTTACTTTAGAAAGAAGGTATTTTTATTCCTCACAACTTAGACAGAATGCTTCAAATTACGCAATTAAAAAAAATATTTTAAAACTTAAAAACTACAATAGAACTTAACTAATAACAAAATTAAAAAAAATAATAAAAAGCATTTCCAGACGATATCTTGTATAGTGAAAGCTATGACAAATGCATTGACATTGAAAAATCAGTTTTAAAAAAAAATTATTGAAAATTTTTTTTTTTTTTAAATTGTATCACATTTAAAATAAATAGAATGTTTTATATCACATTTTTCGCTGCGTTTCACTTCCTGCATTTTTGTTTCAAACATCAATAGGAAAAAAAAAATACTTAAATTTTTTTTTCTTCTAATAATTTTTTGAATAATCGCATTTTTTCTGACTTTTAAAAAGCTGAACTTCATTACCATTTGATTTTCTTTTAAATAATAAACAATGCATAACTCAATTGACAAAGTACTAAATAATACTTTTTGTACATAAAGCCTTTACATGATGGTGCATAACGTTTTTAAAAAGTGCTTATTTTCAATTTTTTTTTAAAAGCCCTTTAAGGTTGCTTTTTTCATTGGATATCTTTAAAAAGTGTTTTATTTTCGCCTTTCGAAAATTGTCTTTTTTCTTTACCTTGTTGATTTTCGTCATTTTTCACATCGTTCTATTCAACGTTTTTACAATTCCTTCAACAATTGATGCAATATCGCAGTCCGCACGTGCGTCTACTGAGTTGGGTTCGATGAGATTATTGCACTCTTATGTACAACACTGCTGCATTTTGCAAGATGTTGTCTATTTCAGGCTTCATTTTCCATCCTCTCATATTGAACCGAAAAATATCTCGAGAATTTTATAATGGCTAATATAATCAAGAAAAGAGTTATTTTATCATGCTAACAATCATGTAAAGTCTTTGAAAATTATTTTGCATTTTGTCATCGTA